GCGCGGCCCAGAAGATTCCCCGAGCTGCCCCGTTTGGTCTCCATGGCCGAGAAAAGATAGCGCGTTTTCCTTGGCAAATTATAGCCCTGGATTTCAAAGGTCCTTTCCCCCGTAGTCGTTCTGGCCATAAATACATTTTAGTGGTAGGTGATTGGTTTTCCAAATATACTCTTCTTCTGCCGATTAAGAGAGCCACTGCCCGTCCCGTCTTAAAGTTTCTAGAAGAAAAGGTTTTTCTCGTCTTCGGAGTACCGCAATGCATCATTGTGGACAATGGGAAACAATTCATTGGAAACGCTTTCAAGAATTTTGCGAAGTCCTACAACGTCCAGAAAATCTGGTATAACGCCAAATACCATCCACAGGCCAATTTTGTAGAGAAAACCAACGACACAGTGGGAACGGCTCTGCGTATGTATGTGAAAGAACATGATAATTGGGATCTAGAGATACCGAAGATCCAGTGTGCAATCAACACCTCTTGCCACGAAAGCACACGCTACACCCCGTCATTTTTGAATTTTGGAAGGCACGTTCCTTTGTCTGGAGACTATTATGGAGCCCTGTCGGCAGACGAAGGCGACGAAATCGATTTCACCGTGGCGGACCGTCGCGATTACGCGGATAACTTGGATCAGCTGAAGAACGTCTTCCAGGAAGTCCGAAGAAACCTCCACAGGGCCCATGTGAGACAGTCACTACGTTATAGTACTTCTCGGAAGGACATAACCTATGACGTGGGTGATAGGGTCTGGAGGAGAAACAAAGTGTTGTCGTCTGCAGGACAGCGTTTTATGGCGAAACTTGCGCCCAAGTACGTCTTAGCTACGGTTACGGCGAAGGTTTCCAATTTAGTGTATCGTGTGCGAAATGAGGACGGCTCGGATGCCGGAAATTGGCACGTGAAAGATCTGAAGCCTTTCTATGACCGTACCGATACAGAAGATGTATCTTCCTCTGAAGACGAGGAACGAGTTTCTACCTCCGGAAGCAGCGATTAGTACACGAGCACATGCAGCATTTTGTCTCGAACGTACGACTCCTTACAACTCGTTGTCGGTACTCTTGGTCCTGTTTATTAGTAATCAGAAAATCTCGAGAGTTGTTGATTGGGTTTGGCTTTGACAGTAAGTAATTTTAGAAGCCATTAATCTGTTCGCTTTTTACCCCAGGTAGGGATGCGCAGTAAAAGAAAAGCCGTCGTCTTTTCTTTCCTTTTCGGAGAGGGGCCGTGTTACGATTTTTTTTTTGGAGTCGAGGGTGAAAGGGGCTTAGACGAAGTCTCGCTCGATGGTTTTAATCGGTCGTAGCGAACGCCTGTCACCGATCTCGACCTCTTTTTTTATTGCGGATTGTCGCCGGCAGCTCCGCCAAATTTTGAGTTTTTTTTGCCTCTACGAAGTAGTACTGGCGGGGACGGAGACGGCCAAGCGAGAGGTGGGGGTGCAAAGTGAGAGAAGAGTGAGAGTTGGTGCCGAGAAGAGGTGATTTGAGTTTGGCGAGGTTTGACCTGATGGTTTCCTTTCTTTTTTGAGAGTACTCAGTTCCATAGATTGATAGTGAGGCGTATCCCTTGTATAAGGGTCCACGCCGGGGGCGAAGTTTCGGAGCCGTACAGAGGCGACGTAGAGGGCAGCGAAACGAGGGAAATTTGCTGGGCGTAGCGCCAGCTAGGAGACCCGGAGTTTTTGGATGATCGCGACGTCGAAGACGCGGACCTGGTGAGTTGAACATCGGGGGATCCAGGCCGCGGCAGGACTTGGTCAGCGCGTCGCCGTCGTCCTGTGGGAAGACTCCTGTTTTTTTGAGCTACGAGTAAAAGAACACGCCTTATCGCGATCGGAAATTTTCTTATCGTTTGTCGCCAGACCCAACCGTTTTTTTTGCGTCTCTCTCTTTCACTCTTTACATGCTTTTCAACGTTTTTTCAAATTTTCACGTACCCGCATAAATTTGATGGCGCCCAATTTTTTTTATTTGTGAAATAGTCAGCATTTCCTGTAACTAGCTAGTAGACCGTTGTTGCGTAGTAGTTCGTCAGTTCATTTGTTGTGGTAATTCGTTACTGACATTAGTTGTAGTTTTGTTACCTTTTACTAACCTAGATAATATTTTTTTTGTACTAAAAGCCCTAAATATTTTAATTATTATACAGCTCGCCAAAATAATTAGCCTTTCATTCTGAATTAAAATCTCGGATCCACCTACCGGCTCTCCCGGAAGTGAGCACGGGCAAGTGTATCTTCCCTCGCTTTTATAGCAGAGACGACGTTTTAAGGTAACAATGTGTAGTCATATTTTCACAACAAAAAACTTAAAACATGTTTAAAATGGTAAATTTGTATAGGGAAATACCGATTTTGCAATTACGCTCCGCCCCTCGGTCTGACAACAAATGAAAAATTCATCACGATTGAGATCGAGACAGATAGGTGGGACTTTTTTTTAGTTTTCTTTTTTAATTAAATACATTTAGTTTTCTTTGTACAACACGCTGACTTAGAACATATTTCACATAGTAATTTCTCGTGGATAAATAAGGATTTTACAATTAAGCTCCACCCCTCGGCTTACGACGAATAAAAAAAAATCAGAATTGAGATAGGGCGGGTGGGCGGGGTTTATATTTTGCCTTTTTTTTTTCTTAACATACACATAGCCATCTACTCAGAACATGGATAAACTGGTACATTTTTGCAAGGAAATATGGATTTTGTAAATTATGAGGCGGAGCCTAATTGCAAAATCGATATTTCCTTATACAAATTTTCCATTTTAAACATGTTTTAAGTTTCATCCTGTGAAAAGAAGTCTACACATATTAAAACAAACAGGCAAAATGTAAGCCCGCCCACCCGCCCTATCTCAATTGTGATGATTTTTTTCATTCGCTGTGAACCAACCAGTTTAACTGCAAAATGCTTATTTCTTTACAAGAAATTAAAAACATGTTTTTGAGTATCCTATTGCGTCCTGTTCAAAAAAAAATACTAACTATGTATATTAAGAAAAAAAAGACAAAATTGTGTTGATTTTTTTTTTTTTTTTTTTTCTTAGAAACCTAAAACACGTTGAAAGTGGTAATTTTTTGTAAGGAAATCTTGCAATTAAACTCCGCCCCTCGATCTGACAACGATATCAATTTTTTAAAGAATTAAAAGTTAATAATCATGTTCTTAATGTGATGTGCTCGTATTTATTGAATTTAATGAGGGATTCGTCGATCTTTCGTCAAAATTTACGACAGTTTATCTAGAGTTGGAAAAAATTCAGGTCAAAAAAAAAATGAAGTCATGATTTTTTATCACTATTTTTTAATATTTTTTTTAGTTTTTCAATTGTTTGGTATTATAACTCAGAAAGTAGCAAGAAAAATAAAAAGTTTATTCAGTTTTTTATAATATTTATCTGGGCTTTCATTAAAGTTTCTTATGTAGTAGGTCATGCATTTATTTTGTGACAGATTGACGTATCAGAGTTTTACGCTAGGCAGTGCGTATATAAATTGAGGAGGATTCATAAACCACAAGTTTAGGATTGTTATTTTATAAAATTTAAATAGCATTAACTACGCAGCTTTAAAAAAAAACAACGGTTTAAATCAATTATTTTTTTTAAATCCTGATTCTATCGGAAATTTTAAACTTGAATTAAAATTTATTTTTCATTCTTCTGAAAAAGTCGATGACGTCATCCCAAAGAATGTTCTTGCACCTACGTCGTGATCTTAGTAGAGGAAGTTCCGAAAAATGTACAGATTTTATCAAACTCAGCACTTTATGATACGAAAATAAACAATAACAAGGCTAACAGAAATCTTTACTTTTTGTTATTAGAAAAATAAAAAGGTAAAAATACATATTTAGGAACTCGATTTTTCAATAAAAATTAGATACATAGTCGCCCTAAATTTAATTTTAAATGTAATGCTACATTTTGGATTTTTTTGCGAAAGTCTGGATGCCTGGGGTAAACAATAAGGCGGATTCATAAATTACAAGTACAGGAGTATGTTATTATATAAAATTTAAGTGTCATTTACTATGTAAAATTTTGAGGTGACGTCGTCAAATTGTTGATAGGAATAATCAGACAAATTTTGGTTAGGGTTTATCATCTACACGATGTTCCTAAAATATATACCTACATATAAAATTTGATAACAACAAACAACTGGTCCGGTAGTTTCGGAGATTATCTTTATTAAGAAAAAAAGGCAAAATATAAACCCCGCCCACCCACCCCATCTCAATTGTGCTGATTTTTTTAATTCTTAGAAAATTAAAACACATTTAATGTGGTAAATTTTTGTAAGGAAATATGAATCTTGTAATTAAGCCCCGCCCCTCGATCTGACAACGAATGGAAACTTCATCACAATTGAGAATTGAGATCGGGGCGGGTATGGGTGGAGCCTAATCTTTGAACAACACGATACTCAAAAACATGTTTTTAATTAATTTCTCGTAGGGAAATAAGGATTTTGCAGTTAAACTTCGCCGTCTTGGCGCACGACGAATAAAAAGATCATCACAATTGAAATGGGGTGGGTGGGCGGGGCTACATTTTGCCTTTTTTTCTTAATATACATATGTAGACTTAACATATAACAAGAAATTTAAAACATGTCTAAAATGATACATTTTTGTAGCAATCAACTTAAATCCTCCACTTTTCTTCTATTTACAACCCCTTTAAATACGGCAAAAGTTGAACATCAAATGATAATTTTCAGCTCTAAAAGCAACGTCAGCGGGAACTTCAACGTCGACAGCAAGTTTATAAATTCGACTTAAAAGTTGCGTGTTACCAACATACAGGTTAATAACAAAGAAAGTCTCTGTTGTTGCTATGTTGTATTTTTTTTTAATTTGTAAAAAATCTACGATCAACAAAAGAACCTGTGATAGAAACTTATTTTGAACTTGATGTTCATTAAGACAATAATTGTTATTATTTTGCCCATTTGTAGTATTTATAATCTGACATTTTGGCAACAGTGCACCGTCGATGTTGAATGTTGATCTGTCAAACGTGGTGACGGAGCTGAAAACAGCAGAAATATTTCCTTTATATGTAAAAAATAAACGCTTATTCCAGTTGTTTCTCAGAAGCGAGCAAAACAGTTCAGCAAATTTTACAACAGCTTGGTATTTAATAATATCAATAAATCGTAAGTATTAAAACTATTTTCGAAATATATCAGTTTTACAGTATTTTTCTTTGTGTAAATTAACTAATTTAATTTTTATAAAAAGCTTGACCCACAAACAACGGAAATACTATTAGTTGTTAATTGTTACATCTAGGGAATAAGTTTGTAAATTTTATATACGTATAAAACAAGAATGATTTGTCATTTTGTTAACCTCACTTTCTGATATTGTGGCATATAGACTAACTTCTCGTACAAGATGCCTGCAGGAGGTGCGTTATTTGGTAGTGCCGCCACCGGACCTGGTTCTACTGGTGGCAATAAACATTTAGTTGAGGTCCGGGCTGGGAAAATGAATTTGAAAGGTAAGCAACTAATTGCCTTTAAAAATCGTCAATGAAGCACCCCTCTTATTTAATTTAGGGCGCATGGTTTACCCCGATAAGCGCAAAGGTCTTCTCTATGTATACCAAAGCGACGATTCTCTAATGCACTTCTGTTGGCAAGACCGCACCACTGGAATAGTAGAAGATGATTTAATCATCTTTCCTGATGATTGTGAATACATAAAAGTACCTCAGTGCACCACAGGCCGCGTATACTTGCTGAAATTTAAATCATCAAGTCGCAAATTTTTCTTCTGGCTACAGGTACACCAACATTTTGCAGTAAAAACACAGCAATACATGTATATTTTAGGAACCACGCACCGACAAAGATGATGACAACTGCAAACGCATTAATGAACTCTTGAACAACCCATCAAGTGCGGTACAATCTTCTCAGTCACCAGATCAAGATTTGCAATCTTTGTTTAATAACATGTCTCAATCGCAGTTGATGCAGTTATTTGGGAGTGGCGTTGGGCAGATGGGGGGGTTGTCAAGTCTGTTGGGTACTATTAGGTATGTTGAATTGCTAATTAGTAGTGTAGTAGTAACGATGTGTGTGTCTTAGGGGCCCTAATAGTGGAAGTGCACGCACTAGCACTACTCCTGCAATCACCCATCGTACAACTGTACCAAGTACACCAACAACAAACACAACAACAACTACCGTGAGTTCAAATCCGCCAGCAACAACAACAACTCCACAAACTACAACTGCCCCAGTTACAGCTCCTGGGGCTCCAGCGCGAGCTTCTAATACAGGGCGATCCAGCGATTCGTCTTGCGGCCATAGAATTCAATTATCTGATTTGCAGAATTTCTTACAGGGCATTACGCCAATATCTTCATCACAACAATCAGGAGGTAGTTGATTAAACAATTTGAAAAATTGTATAATGTTGCTATTTCTAGTCGATTTATCCACTGCGTTGACAGCAGACAGTTTATCTGGAATTTTGAACAATCCAGGAGCTTTGCAGGCTTTACAAAGCCACTTGCCTGCTGTTGAAGGTGACCCGCAAGAAGCGTTACGTTCGACAATAAATTCTCCCCAATTTCAACAAGTAATTAATTGGCTTGGGTAGAACGATTTTTAATTTTAATTTTTTAGGCTGTATCCCAATTCTCTAGTGCTTTGGAATCTGGACAATTAGGTCCTGTTGTATCCCAGTTAGCTGTTAATCCGGAAGCTGTGGCAGCTGCAGCCCAGGGTAACATGCAAGATTTTGTGAAAGCGTTAGAGAAAAATGAAGCAACTGGTTCTAAAGAAGAATCTGATAAGGACAAAAAGGAAGAGAAGAAAGATGATAAGGATGATGACCAAAATATGCAACTTGATTAAAATTCTAGAAGCTTTGAAATAGTTTGAATTTAATGATTATAATAATAAAGTCACGAATTGATATAAACTTTGTTTTATTTGTCATCACTTTGGAACTTCTTTAAATCAGCACAAAAAAGGACCTGCAACTTAAGAGGTTACAATGTGTTTAAAATAATTAAATGAATCTTACTGTATGTGCCCATCCAGCCTTTGGTCCATACAATTCCCGAAAATGATCTCCAATATCTTTGTAGATTTTTGCAGTCACAGCCTTGCGTTTGGGTAAATTTGGCATATAGAATTTTCGCGCAATTTGATAAACGTGTGTATCTACTGGAATTGATTGTAAATGGTCAAGTGACATCAAGCAAATACAATCAGCTACTTTAGGTCCTATTCCTGTTAAAGTCATTAATTTATTTTTTGCCTCTTCATAAGGAAGTTTCTTTAAATCCTCTAGCCAACGTTTTCCACCTTTTCTCACCATAAGTTTCGCCGACTCATGAATATATTTTGCTCTATAACCAAAACCTTCTTTCTTGAGTACACTCTCAACATTATCATTAGCTAAAGCTTCAGCACGAGGAAACGAATAATACACTTGTCCATCAAGTTCACATATTTTTTCCCCATACAAACGTGCCAGTTTCTCCACCATGCCACTAATCCGACCAATGTTATTATTAGATGAACAGATAAAAGAGAAGATATTCTCCACAAGCTCCTGTTTAAGGATACGAATGCCATAAAACTGAGTTGCTGCTTCTTTGAAAATGGGATCCTTCAGTGACCATTCTGTGAAGTTTTGTTTCAAATCCAAGTTTAATTGGAAGTAATTAGCCAACAAATCGTTATAAAATGGTTCGCCATTGTTTGAACCGTGGACTTGGTACTCTATGCTGTCATCGTTTTGTTTTAAAATCCATACATGATTAGCAAACACACCAATCCATTTCTTATCACCATCTTTTTCAATAAACTTCCATCTGTTTCAAATTAAAATAACTACATCTTTGTTTGTATTATTTGTATAAAATTCTTACCTAAAACTTTGTCCGCCGTTTAATGTACCCAGTAATTGTACCCGTTCCCGTTCACAAACCAGTTTATACCACTGTCGCACCATATTATGATTTATAGGTTAAGAAACTAGTACCTTGTTTTTGCTCTTATTTTAATACATGGTTTCACTACTTATTTAGCTCAACAACACAAGCAATTTTGTAGTATTTATAATCGTTTCATGTCTTCAAATATTAGTATCTAATTTTTCGAACTATTTCAGAAATACTTTCCCGCTTCTCGTTGACATTTGCAAAACTCAGCAAAAATTCGCAAACAGAATCAAGATAAGAAACGTAAAATATCCCTAACTGAGAAACGTGGAAAATATGAATACCACGAACTTAAAAGAAAAAAATAAATTTAGAAATGATTGTCCAAAAATAAGTTAACAAAACAGTAGCATCAACTTATTGTAGTTAACCCAAAACAATTTATAATTTCGGACAAAATTTAGAGCTTTTTTGCACCAACCTGATGTTGGGAATACTGATTAGTGATTATTCATCGCCGCTGACGTTTTAAAAATTTTTTGACAATTTCTAACCTAACACGTGTCGCGTTTGACGTGAACGACAGTAGTGTTAATGATTTAATATTGCATCATCTCGCATTATCGTAAAAATTATTTATTAAAATGGTATTAGATTTGGATCTCTTCCGCACCGACAAAGGCGGAAATCCGGATAAAATTCGCGAAAACCAGAAGAAACGTTTTAAAGATGTGGCTTTGGTCGACCAAGTTGTGGAAGCCGATAGCACATGGAGGCAACTACGACATAAAGCCGATAACTTAAATAAATTCAAAAATGTGTGTAGCAAGGAAATCGGCGACAAAATGAAAAAGAAGGAGCCTCAGGGTGACGCCAATGAAGCCGTTCCTGAAAATGTAGTTTCCCAGTTAGAAAATCTTACCAGTGAAATGCTCAAACCCCTCACTGTGAATCAGATAAAAAAAGTAAGTTTCTGTAAAAATTTTCACTCGAATGATAATTAACGTGGTTCGCTAGGTTCGTGTTTTGATTGATGAAGCAATTGCAAAAAATGACTCTGAGTTGGTTCGTACTGAGAAGGAGCGAAGCGCAGCTTTAAAAGAAATTGGAAATTTGCTCCATGATTCTGCAGTCATCAGTGATGATGAAGATTTGAATAAAGTGGAGCGGACGTTTGGAGATTGCGAAATCAGGAAAAAGTATTCCCATGTAGATGTGATACATATGATTGACGGTGTTGACACTGAAAGAGGATCTATGGTTTCTGGAGGAAGGGGGTATTTTTTGACCGGGCCTGCGTTGTTCCTTGAACATGCTTTAATTCAACTGGCTTTAAGGATGTTGCACAAAAAAGGATACAAGCCTTTGTACACACCATTTTTTATGAGGAAAGAGGTATGATTTAAAATTTTATTTTTAAAGGGAAAACTGTATTTGTGATAAAAGTGGGGTAAGAAGGCTTAATACTTCCTATATGAAAAAAAAAAAAAAACAGTTTTGTTTGTTCAGCTTTCATATTTTTTTGTGTATTCTTTTTGTTTAGACTTGATTCTATTTTATTTTTTTTTACATTTTTATTTCGTATCAATTTGTTAATTTTCTTGGTTGTGGCTGAATTATTATGGGTGTTCATAAGGCCATAAGGGGATGTTGTATTGATTCATACATAATGCAGTATTCAATAATTGTAGACATGCTCTGTGTTTTCTACATGTTAAAAGTGATTCAGATTTTCATGGAAGAGTTAATAAACTTACAATATTAGTGACACTACTATTTATTATTTATTATTTATTAAATCTAGAATGTGTGTGTCTCTTTCAAGTATGTATATTGGGCGTTTTAAATTTGTTTTTAAATTGACTATAGAAAAAAATACAGCTTTATTCACAAAAAATAAGATATATGTATTAATACATAGTGATAACTTTATTATATGTATTTAAAAAGAAAACAATATTTTTGGACAACATTTATTATTTTTTTATATACGTTTGTGCCATTGACAGTTACAGTTTTTGTAAATGTAGCTGCCCTATCTACATCAATTTTATACAATAGCATAATTTTACAAGAAACATCATTTTCACATTGATTGCCAAAAATGAAAATATTGCTAACTTACTAGCACTTTTCCAAAAATTCATTTGCACAAACTGTAGTAAATTGTATACACTATACACGAATCAATTTTTAAATTTTCAAATGAAGCGGTTGCGATATTTTTTGCATGGCGAACTAAGATCGGGCGTCCGCTGCGCTCCCTAGTAGCTGCCAAGACAAGACTGATTTTGGCAAATGAGATACCCTCTAGGAAAAGAGAGGGTGGGTGGGCGGGGCTAGTACCTGCTAAGATAAGACTGATTTTAGTAAATGGCGTATCCTTTAAGAAATTTGGTTAAATTATAAGAAAAGACACGAGGCTCCAAAGGACTTTTAAATATTGTAATGAAGTTTGAATGTTAACCAGCGTCCCCTAGTGGACAGTTACACTACATAATCTAGCTTCATCACCCGAAATCTCCCGAAACTGGTGGTCGGCAACCACCCGCACAGCACAAAAACGGTGATTCCACAATTTAGTTTTAGAATAAAGTTTCTGGAGTTGTTTACCGCAGTTGCGGATTTTTTAAGCTTATAAAGGAAGCGCAGCGGACGCCAGATCTTAGTTGGCCATGATTTTTTAAATTGGGTGGCGACATCTGGAAATAGTTTGGGCAACGACCACCGATGACGGCTTAAAATTCGGGTCAGAAACATCAAAAGCGTCGACACGTGTTGCTCATATTTTATTATCTCTATACTGTGCCCCAATCGTGCGCATAGACTACCCCCATAACGGCAACAAAACTGTTCTTACATCTACCACTCGATAGAGAGCGACGGAAAAAAATTGTAAGAATCTCATAATACGCAGTGAGATAATTTACAAACATTGCCAGATGAGCATAACACAACTTTGACGATGTTTCTAGTTAATTAGATTTTATTTCGTTTACAAGTTTCTGATAAATAAATGAGATTATTATAATGAATAAATAATACAAACAAGTAATTACTTGTTGTTTTAAATACTTGTTAGTGCTCTTGAAAACGTAAAAATAAATATAAATAACACATTGGAAATTTTTTGTACGCTTTTGTGAGCTCGCTTTTGTTACTAATAAATACAAAGGAAACTATGTCGCATAAACTCGAAAATGAGTAATTTTCTTTCACATTTTGTGATATAAGTACAATTAAGTATATCGATAACTCGTTACTGAAAATTTATTGAAATATAATTTGTGCTAAAAAAAGATTTTTGTGATTTTATGGTTTATTTACATAATTTACTTATTTACAATGAATGTTTTTAATACATGGCACAAGTTCTTGATATTATTTATTTTTATTTAAACTAATAATCGTGTTTTCTTTAATTTTAACCGATTGCGTATTATCTAACATACTTTTGTATACCGGATGTCTGGAAAATGGCGGCTTAACTCTTCAGTACGTTACGTATGTGGATTTCGGGAGTCCCAAAAAAATAATAAAAAAATTATGTATGATGTAGATTACGAAAAAAACGTAATTTTATAAAAGTAAAAGTCGAGTCCGTCGGCCGACTCTCTACTTTTACATTTTCTCGACCTTTCATGACTCCTAGAAGACGAAGAAATAGGTCTCCCGTTTCCGTCTGTCTACCGTCCCGGATTTTTATTAGACAGATAATCTCCGAAAATATTAGACCGCTTGTTGCGAAATTTTGTATTTATATTAGGAATATCATGTAGATCCCCACCAATAATGTGATTATGCCACTTCAAAATTGTACATAGTAAATGGGTTTTGAATTGTACAAAATAACGTAGTCCTAGACATGTAGTTTATGATTCCGAATTGAGTTTTTACCAGAAACGTCCAGACTTTTTGAAAAAAATCAAAATTATGAAACAACATTTTGTAGTTTAATTTGGAATCTTCAAAACCGAATGCTTTGAAATCTTGCAGATGATTTACAGTTATGATAAGCATGATAAATTTTATTCAAAATATATTTACTTGTTCCATCCAAAAAATTTGTGACGTCACCTCAAAAGTTTGCTGAATAAAATATATTTCCTCATCCCCCCTAAAAAATTAATGACGTCACCTCAAAATTGTGCTGAATAGATCCTGTCTTAAATGTGGAAAGTATCATGAGACAATACTTGTGATTTATGATTCCATTCATATTTTTTGGATTTGCATATACAGGTGACTCAAAAAAAAAATGAATGTGTGAGTTTATTTTATTTATTTAATCAGGAAGTACACAACCTAATGCTTTGAAATCTTGGAGATGTTTTGCAGTTATTATAAAATTGGCAAATTTGTAAACAAAATGTATTTGCTCATCCCCCCTTAAAAAAATTAATGACGTCACCTCAAAATTTTGCTGAATATGTCCTATCTACGATGTACAAAATATGATGAGTCTGTACTTGTGATTTATCATTCCATTCATAATTTTTAGATTTGCTTAACAGGTCGCTCAAAAAAATTAATGAATTAGTCAATTTATTTTATTGATTGAATCAGGAATAGTTCACTCCATTTTCCCGAAAATTTGGAGATACAACACTGTTATTATTAGTATTACATTGCAGCAACCCAATTTGATAGACATAAAAACTTGAAAATCGGGAAATCCAAAAATTTTTTAAATCCATAAACCGAAATGTCTAGAATTTTAAAAATTGAAAAATTAAAGTATTGATGAACTGAAAAGTAGAGAAATCGAAACATATCAAAAAATGGAAAAATTGAAAAATCAAAACCTGAAACATCGAAAAACTGATTAATTGACAAATCGAAAACTCGACAATTAAAAAAAATCGAAAAACTGAAAAATAAAAAAACGAAGAACTGAAAATCCAAATTTAAAAAAAATTGAAAAATTGGAAAATCTAAAAATTGAAGAACCGAAAGGTCGAAATGCTAAAAGTCGAAAAATCCGGGCAATCCGAAAAATCTAGAATTTAAAAAATTGAAAAACTAAATATCAAAAAATTGATAATCGAAAAATTGAAAAATTCCCAAAATCGAAAACTTCAAAAATCGGGAAATCAAAAAATTAAAAAAATCCAAAAAGCGAAATGTCGAGAAAACGATAATTCGCATCGAAAAGTCTAGAATTTTAAAAATTAAAAAATTAAAATATTGATAAACTGAAAAGTAGAAAAATCGAAACATATCAAAAAATGGAAAAGTTGAAATATCCAAAAACTGAAACATCGAAAAACTAATGATTAAGCGACAAATCGATAACTCGAAAAATTAAAAAACCGAAAAACTGAAAAATAAAAAAAACGAAGAACTGAAAATCCAAATTTAAAAAAAATTGAAAAATTGGAAAATCTAAAAATTGAAGAACCGAAAGGTCGAAATGCTAAAAGTCGAAAAATCCGGGCAATCCGAAAAATCTAGAATTTAAAAAATTGAAAAACTAAATATCAAAAAATTGATAATCGAAAAATTGAAAAATTCCCAAAATCGAAAACTTCAAAAATCGGGAAATCAAAAAATTTAAAAAATCCGAAAACCGAAATGTCGAGAAAACGATAATTCCCATCGAAAAGTAGAATTTTAAAAATTGAAAAATTAAAATATTGATAAACTGAACAGTAGAGAAATCGAAACATATCAAAAAATGGAAAAATTGAAATATCCAAAAACTGAAACATCCAAAAACTAATGATTAATCGACAAATCGAAAACTCGAAAAATTAAAAAACCGAAAAACTGAAAAAAAAAACGAAGAACTGAAAATCCAAATTAAAAAAAAATTGAAAAATTGGAAAATCTAAAAATTTAACCGAACGGTCGAAATGCTAAAAGTCTAAAAATCCGGCAATCCGAAAAATCTAGAATTTAAAAAATTGAAAAACTAAATATCAAAAAATTGATAATCCAAAACTTGAAAAATTTCCAAAATCAAAAAATTTTAAAAATCCAAAAACCGAAATATCGATAAATCGATGGATTAGAAGCATCGAAAAAACGAACACTTAAAAATCAGGAAATCGTAAGATTGAAAAACTGAAAAATCAAAAAAACGAGAAATTGAAAAATCTAAAACCCAGAAATCGAAAAATTGGTAACTTTAAATTAGAGAAACCGAAACATTAAAAGATGGGAAAACTGAAAATTCTAAAATTTAAAAATCAAGAAGTCGAAAAATTGAAAAATCTAAATACAGAAAAATCCCAAAACTGAAACATCGAAAAATTGATAAATCGATAAATCGGAAACACGAAAAATTAAAAAACCGAAAAATGAAAGAAACATTGGAGAAACGAAAAATCGAAAAATCCCAGAACTAAAACATCGAAAAATTAAGAAATCGAAAATTAAAATATTTAAAAATCGAAAAATCCAGACATCCAAACATCAAAAATATGAGAAATCGAAAAATAAAATCGAGACATCGGAACTACTTATGAAGGATCGAAAAGTTGTTATATCGAAAAATTGAGAAATTAAAAGTTGAAAGAACGAGAAAAGCCGAAAAATAAAAAAAAATGAAAAATCGAAAAATCGAAGAAAAAATGAAAACTAGATAAATTGAAAAATTCCCAATATAATAGGCATGCAGTCGTCATGTTTCCGACAGCGAGGGAAGTACTTTAGACCATTTTTTTTTAGGACAATAACCATAACAACCACTAGTCATTTATCGTTGTGCATTATTATTAAATAAGCTGTTATTTTTCATTAATAAATAAACCAAAAAAAAAAATTATAAGACATTTAAAAATTGTAAACAAAAACAAAACCAACACAAGAAAAATCCATTAAAGCATAACCAACTAAACACTAGAGAAGATGTTCAAAATTCCGGCCTTGTGCATATAAGTAAGCTCGTAATGTTTCCAAATTTTGATCATTTTTTGTCAAAGTTAGTCCTCAGTACTTGCTAAAGTAAAACTGATTTTGGCAAATGGCATACCCTCTAAGAAAAGACAGGGTGGGTGGGCGGTTCTAGTAGCTGGTAAAAATAAGACCGATTTTGGCAGATGACATACCTTCCAAGAAAAGAGGGTGGGTGGGCGGGGCTAGTAACTACTAAGATAAAACTGATTTTGTCAAATAAGATATCCTCTAAGAAAAGAGAGGGTGAGTGCGCGGAGCTACTAGTACCTGCTAAGATAAGACTGATTTTTAGCAACTCGAGGCTTCAAAGCACTTTGAAATTCTTTCCAAATAGGAATACCTAGAACTTCAAGATTGTTTTAAATTTTTCAAAAAAAAACTGGGTCCCAAAATTGACTCAAAAACTATTCAGGTCAGAATTTTCCAAAAATAGAGCACCAAGTCCCCCAAAATTGTTTTAAATAATTTACAAAAAAATCTCCATAGGCTCCCAAAATAGTACACCATAGGGTAACATTGCAGCACTCAAGACTTCAGATTCGTAAAAAGTAAAACACTAAAAGCTCAAAAGATTTTTTCAAGTTCTTCCAGCAACAAAACACCAAATTCCTTTGAATTTATCGGAAAATAAAACATTAGGGGCCGGTTTATAGACAGCGAATTAAATATTTAATCCTCGATTAATTTAACAGAGGTTTAAAATGTACCATATGGTTAAAACATGTACGTTGTCTAATCGGTCCAATTAGACCCGGTTTATAGAAAGCGAATTCAAGCCTAAAATTTACAATTAAATGTTCCCGAAAAAGTGGGACAAATATGTAGTGAACAAAAAATATTTACACCCTATACAAAAAAATATGGTTTACGATGCGCAAGCATACTAAGTATGATATACGTAATTAAAAGTGCAAGTCAAAGTTAATACGCGTAAAAAATAGCCGCTATTTCCATTAAAAATTTATAATTAATTATTTAAATCCTTACAAAACGATATGAAGTAGTTTAAGAGCTATCAGGTTATACGACCATCATAAAACTAGTTGACCGCAAATAAATACCCCCTTTGTGTACTTCGCACTAAGCTTACCGGTTGGTAATAAATCGTCTTCTAAACGTTTCTTGGTTAGTTTTAGATACTTAATGAAAGCTTCCCCCGAACGAAACAACAACAGCCGGTCGAGCTGCAGTGGACACGTTATTTACGACCCTAAAACCTTTTCTATTGTAAACAACTTGACTTCGACACAATGGGATACTTTTATGATGGCTATATAACCTTATACCTGATGGACTACTATACTAACGAACAGTTTAAGAAAAGTCAATTTTTTAAATAAACTGGCTTCTGCTATGCAGTTAGCCGCCAAAATAATTAACATGAAGATTTTAGTAGTTACATAAAAAACCATAATTGAATGTTTAGAATTACTTACATACAACTTACTAATGATTTACGTTGAAAAAAGTCAAAAATTTTGCAATGTGGCTAATAGCTTCACGGACATGTTATTATTTTATTAACAGTCATCACTGCAGCGATATTAAAAAAAAAACATATTCAAACTATTGCGGCTAAGAATGATTTTAACAATGTATTGTTATTTACTTGGTAAATATATTTTTTATTTTTATTACTGTTGTTTTTGTTGCACACGACAAAGTAAATAACAAACCAAAACAAAACTCCTAAATATTGCGCTCTCCATTGAGTGGTAGATTTAAGAACAGTTTTGTTGCTGTTATGGGGGTAGTCTATGCGAGCGATTGGAGTCCAAGCTATTATATGCGGCGTTTGACGACCAAATGTTGGTGCGCCATCTCTTATTCGTCGGCTTTCGGCATGTTCGCTCCAAACAATATCATGGGTATATCTGTATGTACTTAATCAATGTAATAAATAAAGGATCCCAAATTAGAAAAATTCTATAAAACTTATGTATGTACTTTCATGTTGCCTCCTACAACAGAAACATACAAAATATTTTTTGAAATGTTTTCGAAATTTATACCACTGTATTTTTTTTCAGATTATGCAGGAAGTAGCCCAGTTATCTCAATTCGATGAAGAACTTTATAAAGTTGTGGGTAAAGGTAGTGAAAAAGCCGAAGAAAAAGAGATGGAAGAAAAGTACTTAATCGCAACTTCCGAACAACCAATCGCTGCATTCCACAGAGATGAATGGCTCTCTGAAAACTCCCTCCCCATCAAATACGCTGGCCTTTCCACGTGTTTCCGCCAAGAAGTGGGTTCTCATGGTCGTGACACTCGTGGTATTTTCCGTGTCCATCAGTTCGAAAAAGTAGAACAATTTGTATTAACTTCCCCCTTTGACAACAAATCCTGGGAAATGATGGACGAGATGATCAACAATGCTGAAGAGTTTTGTCAAGCTCTAGGAATTCCATACAGGATAGTTAATATCGTGTCTGGTGCCTTGAACAACGCAGCTGCGAAGAAACTCGACTTAGAGGCGTGGTTTCCCGCTTCTGGCGCTTTCCGGGAGTTGGTGTCTTGCAGCAACTGCTTGGACTATCAAGCAAGAAGGTTATTGGTGAGGTATGGACAAACGAAAAAGATGAATGCTGCCACTGATTACGTTCACATGTTGAACGCGACGATGTGTGCCACTACGAGAGTTATCTGCGCAATTTTGGAAGTACATCAAACGGAAACTGGTGTTAAGGTGCCTCAGATTCTCAAGGAGTTTCTGCCAGAGGATTATCGAGATGAAATTCCGTTTGTCAAGCCCGCGCCCATCGACTTGGAACAAACCAATAAGAAGAGTAAAAAGCAGAAAGAGGGAGGGGCGAAAAAGCAAGGCGGAGGAGAAGAATAAGCAAGAATATCGGCATTTGCTTTAATTATTTAAATAACTAGGAATAAAAATGCTTTTATTTATAAAATTTCCTCGTATGCATCATTTTAGAGTACTGGGAATAATGCGAATGTTTGGCTCAACAGGAATGTATTACAATAGTCAGGTTAATTAATACTTTGGATAATAATATTTATATTTCTAAGTTGCTGAGTTCTTTGTCGGCATAAGTGATATCCTTTAAGCGCGTCATCTTTTTATATTCTTTGTATTTTTCTTGTACTTCAATAAAATGTTGCAACAATTTGTCAAAGTCTATGTTTTTCGTATGCGTTGGTCTTGGGTTTTCTTTTATTGCACCCCTAAAGAAAAAAAAAAAACAAAATTCAAGCTACAACTTATCATCATACTTACTTTTCATCACAATGTAGATGCAAACTTGGAATACAACTTAGTCTTACTCTTAAAGTTTGAAAGGCATCGGTTTGTGGTAGTAACATTAATAAACCATACAACGCTCGTATAAGATTTTTATCACATGGAACTTGTAGTAACTCTAGCCTTAAATCTTCAGAACTTTAATTATAGCTAAGACTGTTTGCAAATGAGGTACTTACATGCGAAAATTGGAGATTCTATAAGTTGTACCAATTTATCAATCTCCATCAAAAAGTCAACTGTAACTTCCAAATTTCCACTTGACAGTAATTAAGGAAAGTATAGTTTTCAATTTTTTTGATGCTTATTTTTTACGCTACTGGAAAAAAGGATACAATAACCTAATTAAGTCACATACATGGCCATAACTTTGTGTCAATAAACACAAGGCGACTGTAGCAACAGGGTTGTACGACCACGTTTCATATAAGCAACAAAACAAAGAACGGCTTTCCTGTAAAGAAAATATCGATTATTTGTGTTGTATATTACATTTCTAGACAACAAACCTCGGTACTTAATTCTTTCAATCGACTCCTCATTTCAAATAATTCGGATGAAGTCAACAAGATCATATTCAGATGTTCAACCATAAGTCTGGCGAATTTTAAATTTGGTTCGTTAAGTAATATGTGCGCTAAATTTCTATAAATATCTTCGGCATTAAGTAATACACAAAGTTGTCTGCAACGAAAAAAAATAATCAAAACCCATTTATTAATTAGACAGCAAGTGGAAGTTTGAAAACAACAACATTGATAATTTTTATGTTAATAGGAATAAATTCGTGAAAAACTGAACTGACATCGACCATTTGTGAGTGAAAACGCGATTTCACTACATTCTATTATATGTCCCGCGCTACTTTGTTGTCAGTCAATTTTTATAAACTTGATTAACTGGATCAAAACGAATATTTGGGATAAACAATTCCTGTTAGAATGTGAAAACTTTTTAATAATGATTTAAAAAATGTGTAAACAAAAAGTTTTTTCTTTGATTTTTTTTAGAATACTTTATTCGTATTATACATGCATTTCTTGCAAAAATGTACCATTTTAACCATGTTTTAAGTTTCTTGTTGTGAAAAGATGGCTATGTATATTAAGAAAACAAAGGCAAAATATAAGCCCCGCCCACCCGCTCTGTCTCAGTTGTGATGATTTTTTTAATTCGTCGTGAGCGAAGGGGGCGGAGCTTAACTGCAAAATCCTTATTTATCTACGAGAAATTACCATGTGAAATATGTTCTTAAGTAATCGTGTTATACAAATAAAACTAAATGTATTAATTAAAAACGAAAACCAAAAGAGAAGTCCCCACCCATCCGTCTCGATCTCATTTGTTGTCAGACCGAGGGGCGGTGCCTAATTGCAAAATCGATACTTTCCTACACAAGACAACACTTATAATACCTAATCTGTTTTTGAGACGAATAGCAATAAATCTTGTCGATTTACACGTCGAGAACTATCTTTAACAATGTACAAGTACTGACAGACAGCTACAGTGTAGAAAATGATGGCAGCTATTTAAAATATGGGGGTTTCGGTGAACAGGTGATTAATTGGCTTAATATTGGTGGACCTTATTATCTCTATCAAAATTTGATTTTCGTGGAATTAGTGCTGTCAACCAGAAAAATGTCCCCCCTACTTCAGGAGATTTTTCTTCAAGTTGGCAGCAGTGCAGAGTACTGCAATTTGATTGGTTGAAAACCCAACGTCAAGGGATGTTATATATACTCTGGATCACGAAGCAATGCGTACACGTCATGGATGACGTAGATCCGTTACCAACACTAAATCAAAAATACGCGCCGCAATACGTGGCAATACGGATCAAAATCGATCAATTTGGGGGAAATTATATTGGTACGACTGATAGCGAAACATATGCTAAAGTTTTATCGATTTCACAAGTGTCATTGGTGTCAACTTTGGTTATGTTGTGTTATTGTTTGATTTTTCGCGTTTTTCTACTTTTCTGCTCGTGTAATCGTATCAGTTCTTTTCAGAACTATAACAGTTCTTTATAGAACTCCAAGTTAACTGTCCTGTACCGTGGTACGTGTCGCTTGCTTGAACGTAAACATTCCACCATGCCGAAGCCCTTGCACAAAGATGTAAAGCAAATGGACGATAATTTAGTGGACTATTTTGCTAAAGAACGCGATAGCGGGGAACCTCTTTTACCACTAACAGCTGTTCAAGACGTAAGTAGGTGTATTTTATTACAATTACTAATGCAGTCACATTGTACAGAGGGTTGCTGCTGCTCTGGGTGTATGTGTGCGAACAGTGAACTCCGTGGTACAACAAATAAAAACCGGAAAAGGTGTACATTCTCCCAAGAAATAGAGACCCCCGAACAAAGCAAGTGTGTGATATTAGCACTTCGGAGCAGTGTGCTATTCGAGAATGCTTATATGGAATGGTCGAAGAAAGTATGAATTTGATGCGCACGCCTTATAGATACTAACGACTATTTTACAGAAATACATGTTACACGATCGCCATTAATTGATTGCTTGAAGGAGAAACATATATTTGAGGGTTCTGTGAGCTCGTTAAGAAAAATTTTACATTCTCAATTGGGTTTCGTTATTCGCCAACCAGTGTACGGAAGCGTCTTATGGAATTACAACATGTTGTTCATGCAAGAACCAAATTCTTACGTGAATACATGCACAATCAGCAGAACCCAAATTCTTTGCCATGTGTATATCTTGATGAAACATGGATATTTGAAAATGGTTCGGTAGTTAGGTCATTGCAAGACGATAGTGTCATAAGTATCAGGATGTTCAAAATAGAAGGGAAAATTTAGTAATGTGTCAGTTTCACGTTAGTTATTTATTCTTCTCACTATATTTTAGGTATATTGTATTACATGCAGGTACAAGCAATGGATTTATTGATGAAGCAGCGCTAGTATTTTCTTCTAATACCAAAAATCCAGACTATCATGGCTAAATGAATCAACAGAATTTTCTCAAGTGGTTTCAATTGCTCATGAACCTTGAAGAACCATCACAGATTATTATAGACAATGCAAGCTACCACAGTACCTTTGCAAACAAATGTCCCAGTGGTTCATGGAAAAAAGCAGAAATTCGTGAATGGCTTTAACAACATGACATAAGTTCAGATTCACAGCTGTTAAAAACGGAACTTCTTCATTTGGTTGCACAGTAATGCATATACTATTCTCTATCGTTTCATTTAAAATATCATGTTTTTCAGAAATAAACCTCCAAAAACGTATGTTGCCGTGAATTGGGCCAACAGAATGGCCATAGAGTATTGCGATTGCCGCCATATCATTGTGTGTTTAACCCTATAGAAAATATTTGGGGAATTACTACAAATTTTTATTCCAAACACATTGGGCGTGATGGTTATGGTCAAAAAATTCCGTGGAAATGTGGAAAGAAGCGTTAGCACATGTCACGCCCACAATGTGGAAAAATACTGTTGACCATATGAATAAAATAATACGGGAGTGGTGGGAACGAGAATTAGTATTTGACCGTGAAGAGATTGCGCCGTTTATAATCGACATTAACGAAGATTCACATTATAGTTTTAGTGATTATGACAGTGAAGATTCTAATACTGCAGAGGGCATTCAGCCACTGTAACATGTAGGTTATTTTCCATTACCATCCTAATTGATTGTACTAGCGGCATGTTCTGCTGATGTCTTTTATAATCACACTATCACTTCACTGGCCAAATATACAAATCACTGGTCAGACGACGACGTTGTGCAACATGCATACTTATTATTGTTTATACTTTACTTTTGTATCTATTCCATGTCAATAAAGTAACTTATTCTGTAGATGTGACGTGCCTATTGTGGCATTGAAGACGGTAAGCATATTTCTCTAACTTGAAGCCTGTCACAACTGTTCAATGCTGTCTGTTTGAGACGTATGTTAACATTCTCGTTGGTAGCTTTAAGTACAGTATGAAGCCTTGTACCACCCTCCAAGTATGTGTTTAACACCCAATTGTCAGCAGTTTTTACCAGCAGTCAATGCAAAAATGAACGTTCTTAAAGCCAGTCATTCACGTTCCAACGCCGGGGTACGATTGTATTGGATACAACTGCTGTACAATTCTGCTGAAAAGCAGCAGTACACACACGTTACGACCTTGCAGTTAAAAATTTGCGATCGTGGTGGCAACATGTCCGAAGAAAATGGACTTTTATACCTGCTTTCACGGTTTGTATAACATACACTGTCCCCACACGATTAAGTTTCCAACCAATACAACACGATTGTACTGCTGCAGACAGACTTGTTCACCAACCGTCCACATCCAACCGATTTGCTTGATCGCATACACAGATGTTCGAAAACACTTCAATTTTGTCATATCCTACACAATTGTACCGCGGCGTTGGAACGTGAGTGGCAGGCTTCAGTGACTTAGGAACACGTGAAAGGGGTTACAGTCGTGATCTTTCCTGTGCCTGAGTTTGTAATTCATAGCGTCTATGCAGCCTGCAGCATGCCCTTGTATGCTGAAACACTGCAAGTGTAGCTTATTTCTAAACTGTTGCTTCACACTAACGGTCTTCTCATGCTATAATCATAAATAGAACAAACCAAAACAATAACAAGCCGACATGTTTGTTGACAGTTTTCAAACCGATTCATTTGTATGATAAACGTGGTAGACGCATGACGTCATACAGAGTCCGTGACGTGTACGCATTGCTTCGTGATCCTGACTATACGACGCATACCTTCGCTGTGTATTTGTCAACGACGTACGTTATTAAGCAGAACTCGAAAAAACTGGTTAAAAAAGCTCTAAACCAAATTTTTGAAAGTACTAAACTTTACAATTGAAGAATTAACTTCGTCATTCTGATGTTTTTAATGTGAATTTAATTGAAAATCTAAAATTCCGATAAAAATTGTCAAAAATGACATCTGTCAACAGTAAAAATGACGTTATGAATCTCATTCTAGCAAATTATTATTCAATTATTAATAATTATTTAATTATCTATTAAACTCATAAAACACATCAGAATTACGAAGTTATAGTTTTGGAAATTTCTTTCTACCCTATAGAATTTTATTGACAATAACGAGGTGGACAGTAGTACAATAGTAAGAAATATTTATGGCTCACACTAGTTTACCCGAATTTGTGTAAGAACATTTAGCAAGTAACAGGTGGCTTTCTAACATCTGGGGATTACCGGCATGCGACAACTTCAAGTTGTAAATATCTCTTGCTGTTGTACTACTGTCCGTCTCGTTATTGCCAATAAAATTTTATAGGGTAGAAAGAAATTTCCAAAACTATAATTCATCAACTTTAATGTTCAATATTTTCAAAGTTTGGCACATGGATTTTTTTTGCCATTTTTTTCGAGTTCTTCAAGGCCTCCTTAATTAACATTGAGCACATACGTAATTTTATCATCACCCTGTATCTGTTGAGTATTTCCATCAATAACATAAGATTTGAGTTTCGTTTATTCCCCACCTTAAACCCACAGTAATCTATTACTGTTTCCGTATTTATATACAGTATGTCCCCGGATTGAGTTCACAAGAGGAAAACAGACTGTATTTTCTATTTTACAAAAGAATTACATAGGAATAGCATTTTTTGCTTAATTCAAAACGAATAAATCTGAAATTAAAACTTCAATATTCCTGGTCTGTACTCTTAAAATTAACTTTTCATGTTTGTAAGTTCTTCGTTACTTTTAGTTTTTTTCGATTTTAAGGACACAGTCGGATAATATTAAAATTTTAATTGCAAATTTATTCGTTTTGAATTAAGCAAAATAATGTTATTCCTATGTCATTTTTTTGTAAAATAGAAAATACAGTTTTTTTTTCCTCTTGTGAACTCAATCCGGGGACATACTGTATATACGCAAACTATCCCATTTGTTTTTTTCTGTGTCTATCTTTTACCGAAGGGGCAATAAAAAACACTATCACAGACAGCCATGGATTTTTGAGTTTATCTTTGATCGGTACATTTTCAGTCCAAACAAATTGGCGGTATTCTGACAAAGATCAGTCTTCAAAATTCATGGCTGTCTCTGATCGTGTTTTTATTGCTCTCTTGGTATCACCGATGATTTTTAGACATTTTATAGCTCTTAGAGTACGAAAAAGTCGGTTCCTGTTTCCACTTGTTTGTCTATTGGCGATTGATTAGAACGTATCTCCGAAACTACTGACCGATTACTGTGGAATTTTGCTTTTACTTTTAAGATTAACGCGTGTATTTTAAACATCGACAAAAATTTATTTGTTGATCCCACCAACAATTTGGTAACACTATATTAAAATATTTCTATGATTATGGTTTATCAGTTTTTAGATTTCTGGAAAAAAAAATGTGCACGAAAATTGAAAATTTATCTTAAAAACAAAAGCAACTAAACTCAAATCTTGCAAATGCTTGCTGAAAATTAGCACATTAATTGCGATTATGACCGCATTAGCTTGATAGATCACTAATCAAAATTTGTTGATCAATCGGTATCAAAATTTTGATGACGTCATCTGAAAAATTTGCCAAGTACATCCTATTTAAAATCTCTAACATCATATGCGTCTTTACGTGCGGTTTTTAAATCCATCCACATTTTTCTGAAGACTTCTGATCAAAGAAATCTCTATGAGGAGAAATCTTTCGGCCTATTTTTTTTTCTTTTCTACTTCACAATTGTACATAGTAAATGAGTTTTAAATTTTATAAAATAACATAGTCCTACACGTGTACTTTGATTCCGTATTGAGTTTTTAACCGAAACGTCCAGATTTTTAGAAAAAAAAAAAATATATAAAACAACATTTTGCAATTTAATTTTGAATCTGCAAAACCGAATGCTTTGAAATATTGTAGATGTTTTAAGGTTATTATAAGCATGATAACCAAAATATATTTACTTATCCCCTCAAAAAAATGATGACGTCAGTTCAAAATTTTGCCGAATACATCCTATCTAAAATGTTTGTTTATACAGGGTGACTCAAAAAAATTCATGAATGGGTGTATTTATTTTATTGATTAAATCAGGAACTGTAAAACCGAATCCTTTAAATGGAAACTGTTATTTTTTTATTGCAGATTCGCAGTCTACAGCTAAAAGTACAATTGAGACCTATGCATAGGATTCTGCGATTCATTGGTAATAAAAAAACACCACGTTTAATGTAAATTCTCGAAATTCGTCGCCAAAAAAGTTTATACATGTTGCAAATTTCGAATATGGAAGCATGGAGTACACTGAGAAATGTGTCTGCTTGAATTTAGTGGCGGCGGCCTCACCAAGGGTGACAACGACAACTCACTCGTACAGCTAGAGAATACTTACAGAAAAATCACTCTGCAAAAGCATACAAAAAAAAATTCGGGATGGTAGATAGACAAACGGACAGACAGACAGGCAGACGGAAACGGGAGACCTAATTCTTCGTACTCTAGGGGTCATGAAAGGTCGAGAAAACGTAAAAGTAGAGAGTCGGCCGACGGACTATAAAAAAATATAAAAATCATCACAATTGAGATAGGGCGGGTGGGCGAGTATTGCATTTTGCCTTTTTTTCTTAATATGTGTAGTCATCTTTTCACAACAAGATACTTAAAACATGTTTAAAATGGTAAAATGGTAAATTTGTATAGGGAAATACCCTTCGGCTTACGACGAATAAAAAAAATCATCAGAATTGAGATAGGGCGGGGCTTATATTTTGCCTTTTTTTTTTCATAAACATAATCATCTTTCCATAACAAGAAACTCAAAACATGGTTAAAGTGGTTTTGGCAAGGAAATATGGATTTTGCAACTGCAATTATGGCGCGGAGGCAAAATCGATATTTCCTTATACAAATTTTCCATTTTAAATATGTTTTAAGTTTCATGTTGTGAAAAGAAGTCTACACATATAAAAACAATGAAACAAAATGTAAGCCCTCCCACCCGCCCTATCTCAGTTGTGATGAATTTTTTTATTCGCCGGGAAATAAGAGGGCGGAGCTTAACTGCAAAATACTTATTTCTTTACAAGAAATTACAAACATGCTTTTGAGTATCGTGTTTTTCAAAGAATACTATGTGTATTAAGAAAAAAGGCAAAATATAAACCGCATCCACCCACCTCATCTCAATAGTAATATTTTTTTTATTCTTTGAAACTTAAAAAACGTTAAAAATGGTAAATTTTTGTCAGGAAATATGGATTTTGCAATTAGGCTCCGCCCCTAGGTCTGCTAACGAATGAAAACTTTATTACTATTTCGATCACGGCAGGTGTGGGCATGGTAGAAGGAGACATGGTATAGGCATCCGATGTACCAATTTAAAAATGGTCTGCGCATCCATTTGTGACGTTAGGTGGCATCAACGACCTTGTGACTCTTGTGAGCTTCGCTAGGGAAGTCTAGGGAATTTCAGCTTGAGTTGTCATTGCTTTGTCCAATACGTCAATTAGTTGTCAGATAACGAATTGTATTTTAAATTTCGCGCTAATTTCACCCCACTTGACGTCACACCCGATGCGTATGCCTATACCATGTCTCCTTCTACCATGGGTGTGGGTGGGTCTTAATCTTTGGCTATAATTTTTTCTTAATAAACGTAGTATTCTTTGAATAACACGATACTCAAAAAAATGTCTTACATGGTAATTTCTTGTAGAGAAATAAGAAGAATTTTGCATTTAAATTCCGCTCCTTTGGCTCTTGACGATTAAAAGAAAATCATCAGGGCGGGTATGGGTGGGTCTTAATTTTTGACTTTGTTTTTTTCTTAATAAACATAGTATTCTTTGAACAACACGATACTCAAAAACATGTTTTTAATTCCCCGTAGAGAAATAAGAATTTTGCAATTAAGCTTCGTCCTCTTGGCTCACGACGAATAAAAAAATATTGTCACAATTGAGACAGGGCGGGTGGGTGGGGCTACATTTTGCCTTTCTTTCTTAATATATGTAGACTTATTTCGACAACAAGAAACTTAAAACATATTTAAAATAGTAAATTTTTGTAATCACCTTAAATCTTCCACTTTTCTTCTACAACCCGTTTAAGTACGGCAAAAGTTGAACATCAAAGTTACTATCAACGGCAGCTTGGCAAGCGAGTTTATAAAAGACAATTTTCAGCTCTAAAAAAAGCGTCAGCGGGACCAGGAACTGTAACGGAAACTTCATCGTTAACAGTTAGTTTATAAGTCTCACTGCTAACGTCATCAAAAAAAGATGTTCATAGAATGGTTCCCAATCTGATCAAAATCTACGATGAATTTTCTGCAGAGGATATAATTTTGGAAATTTTACGACTGAGGCGCCAATTGGAAGCCACCAGCATTTTTCCCTAGAAGTGGTTCAGTGGACTACATTGGAGCTTTTCAGATTTATCGTAAAATGGGGCTATTCTGAGTCTGTTCCGAAAATGTGAAAGTACAAAGGTCTTTATTTAATAACAATTGTAGCTTACTACTTAATAGTTTTGAGCCACTGCTTTGAGGAGACGAACTCATTAAAATCAAATTAATTTCTACGTGACATTTTCCGATGTATGAACATAAACACTTTCAAGTTGTTTTTCTTATCGAGGATAACCTAAGGACGTACAGTAATGAAGTCCGTTGGGCAATTTGGTACTTTCATATTTTCTCGATATTTCATAACCCCTAGACAAAGCCGTAGCTAGGGGGAGACTAGGGGCTGCTGAGCCTCCCCTAGATCTAGGCAAGTTACAATTAACCAAATGTGAATTATACGAGTAACATCGAAAGCCAACATAAAATGTAGTGCTTTTTTCAATAAGTGGAAGTCAGAGCAATAAAAAAGTCTGGACTGTCGGCATTGTGATCCGATTATTGCAATTCGTAGAAAACATCTTTTAGTTTAGTTTCTGTTTCACTCTCACCTACAGGTTGATAAGTGTTATCGCTATTTGTTTTAAATTTCGAGTACCATAAATGAGTTCAATCTCCAGTCGCACCGTTGTAATGGTTGCCATAAAAAACAATAAACTTCGCAAAATCAAATCTTTCAATTTTTCTAAAGAGCTGGATTTGACAAGCTATACTTTATGGGCGAAGGAAGTTCTGTCGAAGTAACTTTCGACCAATTTTTCTCCCCTAATTTCTTCCCATTTTCCCCAGTTGTGACACTTCAGTCACCTCTTACTACATTGATCCTTTGTTTCCTTAATAATAATTTCTCACTTCTCATTCATTGTAATTGGGTGTTTTTTTCGATGTAATTTTTACGAAATCGATTGATTACACATTAAATTAAAATATTTCAACAACTTAATTAGCAGGGAAAATTCTATCTATTTACCAATACATAACAAATCTCGGATATTAATTATTATTACCATGTTTTGCTTTATGACCTTTGATTTTGCTCAATCGTTACTTATCTTAAGCAGCTTTAATTTGCAGTTACACACTTGGTTGTATGAACAAAGATAACACACGGACTAATTAGTAATAGTTCTTATTATGTAACCCATTTTCATCGCTTTACTTTCAAGAATATGCGCATCGCTGTTCAAACTTTCAAAAATCTCACTAACAAATTTACCTGATTATAAAAGAGCCCCGTTCGTCCAACAATCTCTTCTCTGTACTGAATGATTGCAGCAGACTTATCAAAAATTTGTTATAGTACGGATTCGTCTCACATCCTAAGTGTTTCACCACTGCCCCTTCACTATTCACAGGACTAGTTTTAGTAACTGGCGATGAAATAACTTCCGCAATAACGACTAGACACTGTTGTACTACTTGATCTGCTTCATCAGCTAAAGTACGTTGCAATGCTGGGAAAAGAACATCTATGTGATTAACCATCTGCAATAAACCACAAATCAGCAGATTGTACAAATAAAAACAAACTTATTACTTCTTCTGGTAACTTAGTATATAAATCGTGTATCCACTTTAATACTGCTACTTTGGTTTGTATGGAGTTATGCATGATATACTGCGTGAGAACGTCTACGACTGACGGTAAATCTAACTTACTGATAGTTTCTTCTCCTAAAAATTGAATACAATGCACGTCGGTGTATTTTTAAGTTGGCTTCATTTGCTACCTGAACTATTTACACGCACATTATTCTCTTCACCGTGTACCGCTATCAGTTTCATCAGCGTGAAATTAACTGCAGTGGCTGTTTCCTTTATGTCTGTCACTGTGTTAAGGAAAATAGAATTAGGAAATGTGATTGGGCCACTAAACGTTTTAATGTCGGAAACATATGTCACGAAATTTTCATGTTTTCAGTCTTGTTGCGACTCGTGACGTAACAATGTATGTTTCAGAAACATTAAAATATTTAGTGAAATGATGAGCTAATTCAGCTGAGACATGGAATCTATGGGAAATATTGTTACACTAACTTTATAACAGAAATAAGAATGTACTTTATGTTGCAAGTAAAAACAGTCCGTGCTTCACCTCGAAATTGTAATCTTATTATGTTTTGCATAATAACGATCACAAACGAAATATTTTATCAAATATTGTTGACATGGAAAATAAAAAATATCAGTAATATGATATTGCGAAGGTCGCTACACTATATCTATTATTTAAAGGTAATTAATATTTTTTACAGAGAATTTAAATAACACGCACAAAAAAAATAAACAAACATACACATATTTTATATTTTTCAAATTTTGGAAGTGCATTTCCTATGATTTTTACTTCCCGAGCGTAAGCGAAGGAAATATTGTAATCGAGTCAAAATATGTGATTTATCATTCCATCCAGATTTTTTGGATTTGCAGATACAGGGTGACTCAAAAAAATGGATAAGTGAATTTATTATTGATCAAATTAAGAGCGAGCCACCCATTTTTTTTAAATGTGAGAATACAATATAACAATAAAATAATGATAAGGTAAGAATTATAATAATAACATTCACAATATTTTGTTCAATTGAGGCTTATGAATAATTTTAGTCATATATTTTGGGGTGATAAATTCATTCAAATCAAACAAATGTCTACGTGACATTCTTCCGATGTATCAACATTTTAAACACTACGCATATTGCTCAGGTAGCACTATTCCCGTTGATAATGTGCTGTAAATATATTTTACAATGTCCAAAGGCGGTTTATACGGATATGCTAGTGATGCTGGACCATCAGGCCCCGGAAGTTAACCGAACCCTTTTGGCCTAAATGTAACGGAAAATAAAATTTATTTGTTTTTAATTCATATGATCTTCAAAATGCAAAATTGGCCACTTCCGGGCGTTCCAATAATTTATGACTTGCAGCTAGGCAGCCACCCGTACAAACAGCTGCCACCTGAGTTTTGTTTGCAGTATCGTTTCTCATAAATATTAAAAACGGTGAGTCTCCAACATACAGTTTTCACTTAAAATATTTCCCATAAATTTCATATTTCAGCTGACCCCAACCAAAGCAAAAATGGAAAAAAAGCAGGAGAAGAGCGGTTAGTCACAAAAATAGAAATAATATAATATCAAGGATACTTCTCCGTGCGTCCGTGTCATATGCTAAGCATGGCAGCACAGCAGTGAAAATTCCTGACATGTAGGGCAACATTGCTGGACCCGACAACTGTACAAATTCCTTAATCCATGTAATTGCTATAAACTAAAATAGCACGTGTTTAGTGTTAGTTTGCAAGATATAAGAAAGCTTTTACTTGGACTAAGTCGTCGTTTTTTTCTTGGGCGTGATTTATGAGAATGTTGATCATGGCCGGAAAATTCACTTTGGATGGATCACTTTTGATATTTCTCAAAAACTCACTGAGAGTGGTTTCACACATTTTCTTGACCTCCAAGTTAGTATCCGCTAAAATTCTAAATAACCCGTCCAAAATCTCGGGCAAATAAAATAATAAATCGATGTCTGGGACCATGTCTAAGACTGAAATCCATGAAATCACAAATTGACGGGCAAATGTGACTTTAGTGTAAATTCGTTCTCTTAACAATGGCATAAATCCTTCCAGATCAAAACATGTACTTTCTGTCACAATATCCTAAAGTAGACATTAAAATGAGTCATTAGAATTAAAAAAAAACTTACTTTTAGTAATCTGTCCAACAATTCAGACGCATTTTTCACATGTTGATCAGGATCAGTTGCTATTTTACTCAAAGCGTTGAAAATCGCAGAGAAATGTGGTAATACTGCTCCTCTTGATACTTTAACAACATTATATAAAGATTCACATGCATAGTAACGTACCCTTAAATCTTGATCAGATAAACACCCCAAAATTGGCTTGATCAACTCATCAGTGTAGTTACTTGTATCCTTAAAGTGATCATTAAAAGTGTATTGGTAATTTTATAATAAAAATTTGCTCACTTTTCCTAAAGCAATAGCTGTGGCTGCTAATCCTATAAGTCCGCCCTTTCGAGCATGTGGATTCTGTGAGAGAGCAAAGTCTTGACCTAATACTTTTAACAATCTTTTTATTTGACTTGTGTTATTTATTGCAGCAAATTCTTTTACCATTCTGAAAATTAACCAAATAAGGATAACTTACTAGAGATAAGAAAACATACTTCTCAATTTCTAAGGCTGCAGTTTTTCGTTTTTCATATAATTTGTCGTGAAGAGCACGTACACATGCTGTACTCAGTGGGGCATAGTCTTTTTCAGACATTGCCACTTGTATTTTTAGAACTTATTCAAAATTGACAAAGGGGGCTCACATCTAACCTCACTTTCTGGTCATTTTGACACTAATGACATTTGACGTGCCGTTGTTGACTGACACACGGACAGAATGAGGTTACCGTCATTGATTTAGAATTGTTATTAACAAAAGTTGTGTAATTTTATTACTGTCGACACCTTTGACGTTATTCTTTATTGGAGAAAATGTCTGCGAAAAATCTATTGTTGAACCATTTAAAAGTCATTTTGGGAAATCATGTGGAATCTGATATTGTTGAGTATGGAACATCATTTTTTTTTGGTTTTGAATTAAACGTTTACTCTTTTGCAGTTATATAAACAGCATGAAACATCAAGAAGACCTAGAAGAATTTATGGAAAATATAATAGATAAAAATAACGTTAGTCACGTATCATCGTACGAAGGAATTTGTAAAATATTGTTTGGGAATAAGTCGCCAACTAAAAGCAACGCAGAATCAAGAGTGGTGCCCAGGCATCAAGAAAAATCGTCAAGTAAAGCAAATCGATATCAGAAAGGAAAGAAAAAGTTTAGTGACATAAACACATTCCAAGAGAAGAAAAAACAACAGGAAGGAAGAACAGTTTGTGACTGTGAAGGACAGGAACATGAATTTATGAACAATTGTTTGAACTGTGGCAGGATCCACTGCTATGAAGAAGGACCAGGTCCTTGTTTTTTTTGTAATGAACCAGTAAGTATGCTAAGTAATACATAAGTATGCAGTGAATTATGGAGGTAGAATAACTGGAAGGAACATTCCTCATTTAACTAATGTTAAAGAAACATCGACAAAAGAGCTCTACCAAGAGCCATTTATCACCCTTTTTGCACTACATCGCGATGCATTTCAAAATATCTTCCCTCCTCGCATTCTACCTCCATGCAGGAGTATGCAGTTGTACAAAATTAAATATATAACACCAAAAAAAAAGGAGGACAAATTAGTATACTAAGTAAAATGGTACATACGTTTCACCCCACATTTCTTTTTTTAATTTATTATATTAAGGTGATTTATCATTTTTAACATGCCAATTTTGACGTTGAATTGTTTTTTCTTATTTTTTTTATGGCGGTCTCAAAGTTAACGTTTTCTATATGGATCCGCTGGAATCATGGTCAAATCTTTAGAACTCCACAACTTAAAAAAAAAAATGGTCGAAAGTTGTTTCGATAGAACTTCCGTCGCATTTCCACAACTTACAACATGAAGAAATATAATGATTTTTTAGAATTTCAATATTCACAACGTGTTATTCTAACACTTTACAACATGAAGAAATATAATGATTTTTTAGAATTTCAATATTCACAACGTGTTATTCTAACACTTTCGAAAATTAACTAAAGTTTTTTTTATATATTTTGATTTCCCGAAGTAAGAAAAAAACGAAAACGTTCACCATTTTTCCACAATTTACAATATGAAATATAACAGGTTCTTAGAATTTCAATATTCATAACGAATAACATCATTATAATTGACGTGGGTAGGCGGAGCTTAAATTTTGCTTTTTTTCTGGATATACGTAACAATCCTTTCACGACAATATATTTAAAAGGTTTAAAATGGTCAATTTTTGTCGGGAAACATCGATTTTACAATTAAGTTCCACCCCTCAGTCTGACAACGAATGAAAAATTGGTCTAAAGAGTTTAGACAGTACTTCCCTCGCTGTCGGAAACTTGACGACTGCATGCCTATTGTGTTTTTTTTTCTCATTACATTTTTGTAATGGGAATTTAAAAAAAAATTGTGATGACGTCATCAACATTTTTGCAAGGACACGTATATCAGTTGGGATAAATGTAGTGTAATACTAAGAATAAAATTATTGTATTCCCAAATTTTCGGGAAAATGAATTGGGTCGTTTTGAATATTGATTTCTTATAATCAATAAAATAACGAAACAATTTACTCACGTATACGGCGCCGGTGTGTAATATCTAGAGAGCGGATTTCTGTCGGGCTAGGCAAGACCAAACTCGGTACGGCTCGTACGGGATGCGAATTCATTGCGGTTGCGGACTGCACTTCGTTTATTTGAGATTAGAATAACGCTGTTTCGTTGCACTCTGCTGTTAATTCCCGTTCTCATTTACTTAGCCGTTTGATTAATAAATCGTTAATTATATTTATGGAATTAGTACTGATTAAATTCAGTGATTATCTATCACTCGCTACTGAGTCCCGGCGATCCAGCGCGTCCCCACCTATAATCGTGACGTAGCCCGACAAAAATCCGCTGTCTAGTAATATGAAAGGCAACTGAAAATCGTTTATGTATAAACATTCTTAATTTAAGATGACAAGCGTAACAGCATACGTGAGAGTCAAACAGAGAAACTGTAAACAAAACGACCATCGGTTTTATTGCTTCGACTTCCGCTTATTATATAAAACATTGCGTTTTATTTTAATTCTTGACGGTGAAATTCACAATTGGTTGATTATGAACATGTCTATTTCACATTCGCGGAACCAAGTGAGCGCATAAAACAAATGCAGGTCTGTAATGTTAAAGTCGATGTAAATAAGCGTGCTACCCTTATGTTTCGACCGACTTTTCCCTTTAACAAATTTTGTGTCTACCAAACTGGGTTGGTTGGGGTGTAATACTAATAATAAGTGTTGCCTTTAATTTAATCAATAAAATAAATTGACTTCATTAATTTTTTTGAACCACCTCTTAAGAAAATCTAAAAAATATGAATGGAATGATAAATCACAAGTACAAACTCATCATATTCTTTGCATTTTAGATAGGATTTATTCAGCAAAATTTAAGGGTGACGTCATCAATTTTTTTAGGAGGGAGAACAAATACATTTTGAACAAAAGTTTACCATGCTTATAATACCTTTAAAATATTCCCAAGATTTCAAAGCATTCGGTTTTGTAATTCCTGATTAAATCGATAAAATAAATTCACGCCTTCATTAATTTTATGATTCACCCTGCATATGCAAATCCAAAAATATGAATGGAATGATAAATCACAAGTACAGACTCATCATATTTTGTACATTTTAGATCCGATTTATTCGGCAAACTTTTGAGCTGACGTCATCAGTTTTTTGTAGAAGATAACCAAATATATTTTGACTAAAAATTTATTATGCTCTTTATAACCTTAAAACATCTGCAAGATTTCAAAGCATTCGGTTTTGTAGTTCCTGATTAAATCAATAAAATAAATTTACGCATTCATTAATTTTTTTGAGTCACCCTGTATATGCAAATCGAAAAAATTTGAATGAAATGATAAATCACAAGAAGAGACTCATCATATTTTGTACATTTTAGATATGATTTATACCACAGACTTTTGAGCTGACGTCATCAAGTTTTTGGAGGGGATAAGCAAATATTTTTTGACTAAAGATTTATGATGCTCTTTATAGCCTTAAAACATCTGCAACATTTCAAAGCATTCTGGTTAGCAGATTAAAAATTAAATTTCAAAATGTTGTTTTGTAATTTTGATTTTTTTTCCAAAAATCTGGACGTTTCGGGTGAAAAGTCGATTCAGAGTTGTAAACTACATGTGTAGGACTATGTTATTTTATACAATTGAAAACCCATTTACTATGTACAATTTTGAAGTAACGTCATCGCATTAGTGGTGGGGATGATTAGACAAATTTTGGTTAGCGTTTTACCATCTACATGATATTCTTAATATAAATACAAAATTTCACAGCAATCGGTCGAGTACTTTCGGAGATTATCTGTCTAATAAAAATCCGGGACGGCAGACGGACAGACGGACAGACGGACGGACAGACGGACAGACAGACGGAAATGGGAGACCTATTTCTTCGTCTTCTGGGGGTCATGAAAGATCGAGAAAACGTAAAAGTAGAGAGTCGGCCGACGGACTCGATTACAATACTTCCTTTGCTTACGCTCGGGAAGTAAAAAATCATCACAATTGAAAATGGGTCGGGCTTATTTTTTGGATTTTTTTTCATTAACATATATTCCTTGCCAAATCGACCACTTTTGAACCCGACCCCTTTCGAGTTAATTGAAATTTTTATATTTTTCCTACCCCACTAAACACATTTCTGAGAATTTTTTCAAATTTTTTTACCCAACCAAAAAGAAGTTTATGAAATTTTCAAAAAAATGGGCCTTTTTTTAAAAAGCTGTAACCGGTTCAAAAATTTAATTATCGGGACTTTTTTTTCAAAATTTTTGTCCTTGAATGTATTTTTTAACTAAATACATTTTCTTGTTGATTTCGAGCTCTAGAACTCATTTCCGGCTTTTCCAGTATCGACCGTTGAAATATTGATTTCTTTAAATTTCTTGAAATTTTTAAACATTCGCATTTCGTACCGATCATTTCGAAAATGTTGCTCCGTGACCATCAAAACGCTATATTTTTGGAATCAGCGTGTCGAGATCTACGTCCCTGAATTTTTTCACAATTTTTAGACAACTTTTTTAAAAGTGAAATTTTTTCGATGGTTCCTCGTTCAATAACGGAAAAATTTTGCAATTTTCGAAACTTAACTAAATACATTTTCTTATAGATTTCCGGCTCGAGAACCTATTTCCGGCTTCGTTTTTTTGATAACTGCAACCGTTTTCCAGAATCGACCGTTGAAAGATCTTTTTTTTTTTAATTTTTTTGAAATTCTTAAAAATTCACATTTCGTACCGATTATTTCGAAAATGTGGCTCCCTGACCATCAAAACGCTATATTTTTGGAATCAGCGTGTTGAGATCTACGTCCCTCAATTTTTTCACAATTTTTAGACAACTTTTTTAAAAGTGAAATTTTTTCAATGGTCCCGCCTTCTTCAAAAACGGAAAAATTTTGAAATTATCGAAACTTAATTAAATACATTTTCTTGTAGATTTCGAGCTCGAGAACCCATTTCCGGCTTCGTTTTTTTAATAACTGCAACCGTTTTTCCAGAATCGACCGTTGAAATATCGATTTTTTTTTAAATTTCTTGAAATTCTTAAAAATTCGCATTTCGTACCGATTATTTCGAAAATGTTGCTCCGTAACCATCAAAACGCTATGTTTTTGGAATCAGCGTGTCGAGATCCACGTCCCTGAATTTTTTCACAATTTTTAGACAACTTTTTTATAAGTGAAATTTTTTCAACGGGCCTTCAAAAACGGAAAAATTTTGAAATTTTCGAAACTTAACTAAATACATTTTCTTGTAGATTTCGAGCTCTAAAACTCATTTCCGGCTTTGTTTTTTTGATAACTGCAACCGTTTTTCTAGAATCGACCGTTGAAGTATCGATTTTTTTTTTAATTTCATGAAATTTTTAAAAATTAGCATTTCGTACCGATCATTTCGAAAATGTTGCTCCGTGACCATCAAAACGCTATATTTTTGGAATCAGCGTGTCGAGATCTACGTCCCTGAATTTTTTCACAATTTTTAGGCAACTTTTTTAAAAGTGAAATTTTTTCATTGGCTTCAAAAACGGAAAAATTTTGAAATTTTCGAAACTTAACTAAATACATTTTCTTGTAGATTTCGAGCTCTAGAACTCATTTCCGGCTTCATTTTTTTGATAACTGCAACCGTTTTTCCAGAAATATCGATTTTTTTTTAATTTCTTGAAATTTTAAAAAATTCGCATTTCGTACCGATCATTTCGAAAATGTTGCTCCGTGACCATCAGAACGCTATATTTTTGGAATAAGCGTGTCGAGATCTACGTCCCTGAATTTTTTGACAATTTTTAGACAACTTTTTTAAAAGTGAAGTTTTTTCAACGGTCCCTCCTTCAAAAACGGAAAAATTTTGAAATTTTCGAAACTTTTTAGTTAATAAATTTTTGATGTGAGGTTCTGAGATTTTTCTCTTTTTTGAGAAAAACCGTCAATTTCTCGAAGTCCGACATTTTTGATTTTTTTTTCCTAAAAACAGGAATGTGCGTTCTTTTTTTTTCAATTAAAAAGGAACATTTTTAACTCGATTTTTAGCTTTTTTATTTTAAAAACTCTATTTATACACTAAAATAAATTATTTTAAATATGTAATTTTATAATATTTCATACATTCATAATTTTTCAAATCAATATAGAATATGTAAATTATTTAAGCATCAACGAAAAACGAAATAAATAAGTTGTTCAATAAGCATTTAAAAAATCGATTTTTAATCGTATTAATCGTGAAATTTTGATCATAAATCATAAGGTAAGGTTATAAATCAAGTATGAAATATTGTAAAATTACAGATTTAACATTCAAAATAATTTTACTGTATAATACATAGAGTTTTTAAAATAAAAATGTTAAAAATCGAGTTAAAAATTTTTCTTTTTAATTGAATTGAAGTTTTTTTTAGGGACAAAAAATAAAAAATCAAAAATGTCGGACTTCGAGAAATTGACGGTTTTTTTCAAAAAATTGAAAAATCTCATAGAACCTCACATCAAATTTTTTTTTCAATTTTTTTCTGAAAAGTACATGTAAAGACAGAAATTTTGAAAAAAAAAACGTCCCGATAACTAAATTTTTGAAAGTTACAGATTTTTGAAAAAAAAACAGTCTCTTTTTTTGAAAAATTCATAATTTTTTTTTTAGTTGTGTAAAAAAATTTGAAAAAATTCTCAGAAACGTTTTTAGTGGGTTAGAAAAAAATATAAAAATTTCAGCAAAATCGAAAGGAGTCGGGTTCAAAAGTGGTCGATTTGGCATGGAACTACCACCCATCTGTAGTTTCCTTTCAAAAATATGTTTCAGAGTAGTTTCTTGTAGAGAAATAAGCGTTTTGCAATAAACTCCGCCCTTCGGCTTACAACGAATAAAAACGTTATCACAATTGAAATGACAGTGGATGGGCGGGGTTTGTATTTTGCCTTTTTTTTTCTTAATACATGTACGTACTCTTCTTCTTCACGATAAGAAACTGAAAATATGTTTAAAAGGGTAAATTTGTAGAGAAATAATAAAATTTACCATTTTAAACATATTTTCAGTTTCTTGTTATGGAGAAAAAACAATATATATTAAGAATCCTACTTGTGACGCTTTTTCTTTGTTCGTCGGTAGTCAAGGGGGGCGGAGCATAATTGCAAAATCCGTATCTTTCTACAAGAATTACCTTGTGAAACATGTTCTTCAGAGCAAACTATACGTATTAAGTAAATAAATATATACGCTCCACCCACCCGGCTGGATCTCAATCGTGAGGAATTTTCCATTCGTTGTCAGACTGAGGGGCGGAGCGTAATTACAAAATCCATATTTCCTGAATTAAAACACATTTTAAGTTTCTTGTTACGAAAAGAACTATTTTCTTAAAGAATATATGATTTGCCAAAATTAGTATTATCTCAGTTAGTACTTGCTAACAAAGTCTCATTTTGGCAAATCACATATCCTTTGTGAAAATAGGGGCGGGTGGGCGGGGCTAGTACTTGCTAACATTCGTCTTATTTTGGAAAATGACATATCCTCTGAAAAAATAGGGGGCGGGTGGGCGGGGCTAGTATTTGATAAGATAAGACAGATTTTCGCAAATGACATTCTCTGGAAAAATAGGGGGCGGGTGGGCGGGCCTAGCATTTGTTAAGATAAACTGATTTTGCTCCTATAGATCTTGTAAAAACTTGTTAAATTTAAAGGTTGAATTGTCAATTTCCATAGTAACGAGTTAAATTACTAAATCTACACGAAATGTGCAAAATATGATGAGTGTTCAGTTTTTACCCTAGACATCGAGATTTTTGGAAAAAAATGGAAATAATTGTACAACATTTTGTAATTTAACGTTTCAAGGTTATCGTAATCATGAATCGTTAATGAAAATGTGTTTGTTTATCCTCTTCTAAAAAATTGATGATGGCATCTCAAAATTTGTAATGGAAAAATTCACCTGAAACAGTCATGCTTCTTTACATTTATTGTAACATTACATACATATCTTTCACAAAAGCAAATCTTACAATTTTTCAAAAAATCTGGATGTATTTACCGTCAACCATTTTTTTATTTTTTTATCTCACAATTTTTCGTTTTTTTTTTCTTTACTTTTTCAAAAATTTTCAGTGCTTCCGTTTCATAATTTTTCGTTTTTTCAATTTAATTTTTTTAAATTTTTTTAATTTCTCGATTTGAAAATTTTTCAATTTTTCGATTTGCAATTTTTCAGTTTAGTAATATTTCGATATTACAATTTTTCAATTTATAAATTTTTGATTTTTCGATTTTTCAAGTTTTCGTTTCCTCACTTTTTCAAATTTCTGATTTTGATTTTTTATTTTTTATTTTTCCGATTTATATCACAATTTTTCGTTACTTCATTTCTCGTATTTTTTAATGTTCGTCTCGTCTTTTTAATTTTCCGTTTATTCAATTTTTCAAATGTTCAATCTGTGCCCTTGATTTTCCAATTTTTAAATTTTTCAATTTTGCAATTTTTGGATTCCCAATTTTTTTATTTTTCTGATTTCTTTTAATTGTCAATAATTGAATCGAATTCGATTTTATGCTTTTCCGATTTTTAAGTTTCTTTTTCTTTTTGAATTTTCGATTTTTCCTCCTTTCTCAAGTTCTTGATTTCCAATTTTTAGTTTTTTCAAAGATTTCATTTTATACTTTTTAGTTTTTTATGTTTGATTTTTAATCTTACAATTTTCTATTTTTTTTATTCGAAAAGTTGAAACATTGAAAAATTAAAAATCGAAAACCAGAAAATCGGAAAAAATTAACCAATCGACAAATTGAAAAGCGAATCGAATCGAGAAGTCCGTACTGGTGGTTTATGATCCCATTTATATTTTTTAGAATTGCTTTGGAAAATCCAAATATTGTAAAATCGAAAATTATAGAATCGTCAAAACTGTAAGGTCGAAAAACTAACATTGTAAGATCGAAAAACTGAACAATTGAAAATTGAAAAATTGAAAAGTCAATTAAATGAAAAAAATCCAAAATCATAAAATTGAAAAAGTGAAAAATACAAAAAATTATAATTATTATTATTACACTTAATGGAAATAATCGAAACTAGAAAAATTGCTAATTAAAAATTGAAGAAACGAAAATTTGAAAAATAAAAAATTCAGAACTCTAGTGATTTTAAATCGAAAAATTGCAAAATCAAAAAATTGAAAAATTCAAAAGTTGGAACATCGAAAACCCGAAAAATTGCAAATCGAATGACTAAATAAACAAAAAAAAACATAAATTTAAGAACTGAAAAATTCACGTCAAAAAGGCAGGATTTGTTGGGCTTTACATTTTATAAATATCCAAGACAACACCAAATTTTTAAGGAAGACAAAAAGGAAAATATTGTTTTGCGAAAAAATGTCTGTCGTTCTACATCGACAGATGTTATTGAGGCATATTTAAGGGACGACACAATTTGAGAGTCTATATTTACCTCAACTGAAAACTGTCCATCTAAAACTTTTGCCACATTAGTTAGTCTAGCAAAACCCCCATTTTTAATAAAGACTTCGTAAAGTCTTTTTGAGACTGTTTGAGCAATAGGATCTTGTGCTTTATTATCTATAATAAATTAATTTTTGTTAAAAAGTTTGGTGATTTTTTATAAAAATTTATAGTGGTCCCAATATTCGGGGATTATACATAACAGCGCCTCCAAGTTTTTAACATGATTTCAATGTTAAAGAATCCATCTCTTGATGAAGAAGTGAAGGAATGATTTTGTAGAAGTAAAATCCAATGAAAGGGGAATTTGCATTATATATTCTCTTCTCTTCTGTAAAATCAGTCAGTGTCATTTATTTTACAGAAATCTGCATTTACAAAATGTACGAAGTCAGGGTTTTCCTGGTAATTATGATTATGTTCTTATTTTAAGTTGAAGGTCAGACAAGTCACACCAAACAGATAACAATAACGTACATTTCATACTCATATTGTTGTGTCTTACCTTCAGTTTTGAATTTGGTACATAGTAAATTCAACGATTTCCGCACTTGTTAAAAATGGTTATGAAAGGTCTACCACTGTTTATCTTGTTAATATTCTCATTGTTTATCACAATACAAGGACGATTCGTTTCCTTTAGTCCTGAATGTCGAGAATATTGTGAAGGAGATTGTATAAGAAGACTCCAAGAATATTATTATACATGGACATGTCATTCTAATGAGTGCAGCTGTTTGAAATCAAAGTACCCTATTAATCCAGTGTACAACATTTTGGTTGATAAAATGCAAACAATTCCTTTAGATGCTTTTCGGAAATATATATAAGAAATAACTCCTCGATTACCTGTAATTGCCTACAATGCGAATTTAACAAGAATTCCAATTACATCCTTTAAAATAACAGTTTTTAAATTTTATAATTGCTAAGATTATTAAATAAATATGTATATGTATTAAACCTTTTGTTTCTTTCGAAGTTATCGTTAAATCATTAAGTGCATTTTCTGTCTTTTTTATTTTTAGGTCACAGTCATGGGTGAGGAATGCTTTATTGATAACAATTTTCGCAAGGACAAGAAATCTAATGCTATGAAGTATGTTTCTTTTATTTACAAAATATTTATTCATACTATTAAAAGCAGCCACGTAGTGATGACGATTTCTTTATTTTGTGCGTAGCAACGTTAAAGTGTCTTTCTGCGCAAAAATGGCGTACCTACTGAGTATAAATTAATATAAGTCAAATCGCTGTATAATAATCTCGTGTGATAAAGTACTCCTTCCCGCACTGCTACATAAACTCCTATTTTAGACACAAAGAAAATAAAGTATTCGACGATGACAACGACTACTTCAAAACAAACGACCTTAATCAATCTAAACCAGATAAACGTAAGATGGTGGTAGCTCTAGATTTTGCTAGTCGACGAGTTATAGAAAGCACAGAGGAAGATGTAAGAATAAAAGAGAAACTACATGAAGACATCAAAAAACACTTAGTGAATGTTGAAAAACTCTATCGCAAGCTGCAGAAACAATCGGAAATAGAATCAGTTCCTTCGGTGTTAATACCGTTCCTGCGTTACACACAATAATTGCAACTTTTTTCTTTCAGAATAACAATGATTTAGTTGAATTACTGATCCAAATGAGACATAAGAAACCTGTAGGTGTTGAGGATTTGGGTCCTGAAGATAACAGCACTCACTTTGTTGATTATGGACGAGTGTATGATGAAGATGTCATTACGAACACAGACCATGGGTTATGTTTGAGTATGCATCAACCTTACGCAAGCCTTTTGGTTGCTGGTGTTAAAAAGTGTGTAGTGTTATTAGTAAGTAAACACATGTACAAGTTTGGTTTTAGACATGAAGGTAGGACGTGGAAGACGAACCATAGAGGTAGACTTTGGATTGCAGCGGCGGCTAAAGTACCGGATGACGATGAAATTTCAGCTTTGGAAATATTTTATCGCCAATATTATAACGGTGAATATGTGTGTTTTGTTGACTTTAATTAATTATTTAATGTAGATCAGTCTCTGAAATTTCCGCGAGATTATCCGACGAGTTCTCTGTTGGGTTGTGTATTTGTTGAAGATTGTCTTGATCAAGACACATACAGGAAACGTTTTCCTAATGGCGAAAGCAACAGTCCTTACGTTTTAATATGCTCTAATCCTATTATTTTGCCAATATTTTATCCGATAATTGGGAAACATAAAATCTGTAAGTTGTTGGTAGTGAGTAAATAATCGATAATTACCTTATGTGTTGCAGATCCGTTAGACAAGGAATTGCATAGTTGTGCAAAGTTGTCTATTAGGCACGCCGAATACGGTATTGATTAATTACAAATTTATGTAGGTATGTCTTTTTGTATTTTATTGCACTTGTTTATGTTACAAAAATACATTCTAATAAATTATTAACTATACAGTAATAAATACTTATTTATTTTACAGTGAATAGACGGTGAAAAGAAGACTAAATTTCTTGAGGTAGTAAATGACAGATTTACCTGAAGAAATTTTAACAGCTTCTTTACGCCGACCGTCTTAGGTATAATAAATAATACAGGTCATGTTTTCTAAGAGTTACAGACATTTTTCGTATCACGCCAGAAACCATTAAGCCGCCATCTTGTAGGTCTCGTGATGTCCATTTTCAGTGAAATGAATACGGTAGAACACTTGTCGAGCTAAAAACAAAAAAATATTTAATATCAGTCTTCTAATGCAGAGCTTCCTATATTTTACTGCTACATCTGACTGTGTTTTTTTTTTTGTTTTATTTCTATTTTGTTACATTTTTCACATAGAATTTACAGTTTATATATATTTTGATTTTGTTTCAATAATCTAAAATGACATTTTTTACTTACTTTTTCTTTAAGGATCCTTATCCCGTGTTTTGTCTTTTATATTTGAGAAGAAAGCCTCTATTGGTAAGATCGGGTCATCTGTAGATATAGTAAAATAGTTCGGTATTCTTCGACTCGTTGGAGCCACAGATTTGAACAACCCAGGAGTATTATAATCATTTTTCGCCGAAGAAGTCAAATCAGAAACTCTCTGCGAGTAGAAATATGGATCAATCTTCGAAAGATCGATTGTCGTCGTTGCCTCAGCATCATCGTAATCTTCAGTTGACCTAACAACTTTCCAGTTAGATTCAGTAGTAGAATCCACTTCTATTTCATGTCCATAATCTACGGTACTATCAGTCACCTCGTTTTCTTCAGTCGTGGTACTTTTCTCAGTTGTTGTTTCTGCATTATTCTTGTACTGTTTATTCAATATCTTGTTTCTTAAAGATAGCATCGGAGGTCGTTTCCGATTGAAGAGATTCGATTTGATAGCCACTCTTGGTGTTGCTGTCGTCGTCGTTGTTGAAGTAGTGGTCGATTTATATCGTCCAAAAGGCCGTAGCCTCGTGTTTATACTTTTAACGTTCTTTTCTGTGATGATGTTAGGAGTTTCTGTTGTACCAGCGTGTCTAGGATCCTTGGGCATAAATTTAGGTCTGATCGTCTCTGTATTTTCTTCTTCAATTGTAGCCGCAGTGGTCGCTAAAGGTCGCCTCAGTCGACTAGGGAGTCTAATTCTGGGACTTTCCGTAGATCTATGAACTTGGGGTGCTGATGTCGAACTTTGCAAATTGTATTTTTGTCTGTAATCTTTAACACTGAATCTAGGTCGGTTCGAATTATCAAATTTAAGAGGTCGTCCCTTAATCCGATGCGGATTTGAAGATGTCGTAGTAGGTGCTGCTGTGGTTGTTGTACTTATATCTTCAATATTAGGAACGGTAGTAATATCGTCGTATTCACTTTCAGGGATAACGAGATTGGTCGTTGGTACTTTTTCAGTTGTTGTTAAAATAATGAAAGGTTTTATAGTTTCATGGTGATCTGAATCTCCTGGTTTACCGCTATAGTGGTGTTCCGGTAAATCTAACTCAGTATTTTCAGATTTAGGTGATTCTTCAATTTCTTCACTTTTTTCGGAAGCAGCTTCATCATTCTCAAAAGACGACGATTGTGACGATTCTCGATGATATTCTTCAGACTTGTGCTCTGAAAACTGAGTTGCCGTTTCCAATCTGGAAGGTCTTTGTCTTATTTTTGTTGATTCGTAATTCTCTGGGTTTCTGTGCCTAAAGCGATTTCTTCCTCTATTAATTTTGACAGTTTCTTCGCTACTAGGAGTAGTCGTACGGGGTCGAATAGGTCTTTTTGTCCTAACCGGCCTTTCAGTTTCTACCGGCTGAGAGTATTCATCCTCGTGAACCTGATTTACAGCATACACAAATTCTGGTTCTTCTGTCGTGGTAGTTGTTGTGGTACGTCTATCCGGTCTTCGTCTTTTCTGCGGCCGAATTCGTTGTGGTTCTCTGGTTGTTGTTTCAACATCTTCGTGAAAGGTGGTGATTTCGTTAGAAATCTCTTTGGAAGATTGTAACTGACCAAAAACGGGTCTCCCAAAGACGGGGTAATGAGTGGATACTTCTTTAATACTGAAACCAAATGGATCGGGTGTTGCAAATCCTTTCTCTCTTTGCACTTTTGACAACTTCGAGAAAATTGTCGACACTTCGCTTTGAGTAGGAGATGTTGGTTCTACACTCGGTTTTTCAGGTTTGTAAGGCGTCGGCAGGAATACGGGTGCTTCGTCGTTGATTGTTTCTGGACGTCTCTTCGGCTGACTGGGTTTTCTTGTACGCACGGGACGTTTTGACGAAGGTTCCTGCCAGACCTGGCTTTCCGTAACTTCATAGATTGGTTTAGGCGCCTCTGTCGGTTTCCTTACTTTTGAAAAATCGAACTCTATGTATTGCCCATGGTAGTTCGGGGGAATATTATTGTGAAACTCGTGTAATTTTTCTTTAGTGACGTGTACTTGCACTGGGGGCGGCTCGTTGATATTCTGCTGCGTATACTGGATCGGAGGCGGTACCTGTAACACCACATTTTCTTGCACGTTAGGTCTGTCCCTCGTAATGTAGTCTTTATTTTTGTAGATTTGAGGAGCCGGTAGCACGTTTCTAGAAAAGTCATTATTGTGTGTCTGAATTTGGTAATCAAGATCGTTGCTTTGAGGGTTTTTTCCGAAAATATAGGGTGGTATTGAAGGGGTGTTATATTGTTCAAACACACTTTCGCTGGTTGGCGTTAACGAGAAACGGTTAAATTCGATATGAGCATGTGGTTGATTGATGGAGTAGTGGTTATTGCTTCCTGGTAATCCCAAATCGATGGTTTCTCTGGTTCGAATGTTACTTGGACCATGTTTGTAGTGATTGTAGGCACCTAATAGTATAATTTCAGAAACTACTAACTGATTGAGGTAAATACGTACCTGATGTTGCAGATGCCGTAAATATTTCGTCTCTGTAGCCACTTGTTGATGTTTGAATTCGCATCGGTTTTATGTTCCGTTTACTTGTTGTCGACGATATTTGAATAAAAGGCTTGCTTGTGGTTGCATGAGGTTTAATGTGTCCAATCTGGCCGGGCCGAGTGTGAACTACCGCACCGATTGGGATGTGAGGACCATGATTACCATGGGAAGGTAGAGCAAAGTAAGGATCGGGATGATAGTGCTTCTGATGTGGAATTTTTCGTCCTGGAAGGTGTATTTTTATAAGTATAAATATATATTAAATCACCATCATCAAACTGTTGATTTCTCAAATCTACAAATTTACCGTCTTCAGTTAAATAAGGCTAATGGATTACTGATCTCACTATACAGTGTGGTATCTGATAAAAGAACTTTTTATTTAAATATAGTACCTACATACTCAAATAAAAACTCGAAATAAAACTTATAAGGTAAAGTGAAAGTAAATCCGGTCCGTAAAGAATAATGTTTACTTTACAAAAATTAAAGTGCAAAATCAGTGTTACCAATCTGACGTAATAATAACTCTAAAGTTGAAAAAATCTGAAGACACAAACCATAAATCTGGACACACAAATGTTTAAGTCGCTATTTTTTTTGAGGAAAGCAAAAAGAAGATGTAAATGTGTAATTTTCAGTAATTTATTATAGCTTCAACATGTATTATTCAAATGCAGAAATAAATCGAAACAAGCTTATCTTGATATTGCTACGTGACTGGCTACCTACTACCAGTTTGTTGTCAACACCGTCGTCGAATCAATTATGATTCAGTTTTATGGTGTTATAATTTAGGTCTATTTTAACTGCAGGCAAAAAAGAAGCAAAAGTGGATTTTATTGACAAGTTTTTTATTAATGAGGTAGGCCTACTTTTTTTTTATCATGGTTTTTTCTCTAGTGTTTAATTCGCACAAATAGAAACTATAGACTTCAGCACTCGTTTAAAAAACAATTTTAACCACAAGTAATCAAATACTGTCATAATTGATTATTTTAATTAAAATTTGAATCTAATGAAGTTGTTTAATACCCGTTGAATTCCAAATTGTCAAAGACTTAATTAAAATGGATGATCGATTATCTTGTAGGTACTACAATGAGGCCGCCGCTGGCGCTCGGGAAAAATTGATCGAAGATAATAGAATGGATAATCTATAATTAACTTTCATTTTTATATTCATTATTTTATTATTAATTTTTTTTTATGCTGAGTTACCGAATGCGTTTGTTATATTTTTTTCTATGTTAATAATTTTGTTTTTTTTTTTTCATTTAAAATCATGTCCATAATCACACGAGTAACATAATAATAAGTACTTTAGGTTCCTCCTTACGGTCATTAAAGTATGCCAAAATACCTTTAGATAGCAGTCAAAATTTTTTACTGAATTAAAGGCTTTATTATTATTAATTCAATTTCAGAATAACAAAAATAATGTTTTCGTTTTTATTTTTATTTTTTAGATGAAAGCCTTTATTGGAGTATAAAAATTATTTCATTGAAGATTTTTGTATTGCTAATAGGTATATAGCTATGTCGTATAAGTCTCAAGTACCTACTATAGCAAGGATGAAATTGGACACCACGTTTTGCCTTATTTTGGCATATTTTAATGACTACAAGGAGAAACCTTAAAATAAAATAAATGAAAAGTGAAAACAGAGACAATAGCAAAAAGGTTCAGATAAACATAGACCGAGAAACTTAAAACCAACCAAATCCGTTTACCACCCATTCTTAAATTATATTTTCTTGTAAATATTTGAGAAAAGTTGGAAGTTATGGCTGATTTTATTAAATTCAAAACGACCTGTTTTCGTGTTGTTAGCTGTGTTTAAAAATAACAATAAATGTAAATCCACTGTAAATCCACGTGGAAGAATACTTTTCTTCAATAATTACTGTACTGAAATGAGAGGCAACACATGAAAAAATTAATTTTGCGATGTTCGTGTAAAAATTCTTTATTATTTTCACGGTCAAATTGAAAATGTACTAAATCAAGTCGCAAATATTACTTCGTAAAAAGATGTTGCAAAGATTTTCAGAATTACTAAACTACTAAAAAACGTGTCATTCTAGGATATAGTTGTATGATTTGCAGTACTTGTTATAACATTAGTAATAATCTCTTTGAAACAATAGGAAGAAAAAGTTTTTACACAAATGAAACGAGACAAAAATAGTAAAACATATCGCGAAAGTTTGATGAATGATGAGGCTTGCTAAATTTGTTATTGAAATGCGTCATTGAAATGTGTTAGTAATTTTTGATTTTACACTGTCGAAACTAGTACTTGCAAAGATAAGACTGCTTTTGGTAAATGACTGAACAATATTAAGAGTAATCACTGGAAAGAAGGGGGGGTGGGTGGACGGGCCTATTGCTTACTTATGAAAGTCTCTGCAGGAAAAAGTTAAACTTCGCTCCGCCCACCCATAGATATATTTTAATTAACAATTTCCCATGGTTACAATAACTTTTTAAAACGTCTGCAAGATTTCAAAGTATTCAGTTTTGCAATTCTTGATAATCAATAAAATAAATCGACTCGGATCTGTACAAGCAAATCTAAAAAATATTAATGCAGTGATAAATCACAAGTACAGACTCATCATATTTTGCACATTTATGATAGAATTTGTTTTCAAAATTTTGAGGTAACGTCATGAATTTTTTAGGGGGGAAAAGTAAATATATTTTGATTAAAAATTTATCATACATATCGTAACCTTAAAACATCTTCAAAATTTCAAAGCATTCGGTTTTGTAGATTCAAAATTAAATTGCAAAATGTTGTTTTATAATTTTGAGGGAAATTCCCCTAATGTGGACCCAGCACTCTTACCGTCTTCTACATCACAACAACCAACTTTTTATCGTCAGGAGAAAATTTTGAGTGAGGATAGTCTTTTCCAGATTTCTGTAACACCTTCTAAACGTGGCGATCAAACAGTGTGGCCATACAAAGTTCGTTTGACGTGTGGTAGCACTGAGCTGGGGGTTAAAGGTAACACCAAAGTGGGTGTTAAGGAGATTTTTTTGAATTCGTTGATCAGCCAGAAGGGTAAGACGTCGAAGATTACCGGGAGGGTGTTTTTGATGAGGAAGGCCAGTGGTCCCAAGGCGAAAATGGTCATGGAGAAGAGCAAGTACCGCTCGCCGTTTTACATTTTAAAGTTTGAATTGTCCAGTAGACAGCTGTTTAATTTTTACTTTGAATAAGTGCAACAGGAAGACATGATTTTCTGTTGCTAATCAGAACGTATCTCTTTATCCCGTTTAAAAACTTGTTGACGTCATCTCAACATTTTGCTGGATACATGCGGTTTGATTAACCTATATATTCTGAACTTGAACAAATATAAGAACTCAGAATTTACACAAGAAATATTTTACTCTTTATCGTTATCATCTCCGATAGGGGATTCCCTATATAAAAATTTTGATGTGTGCTACCTACACAAGTAGGTTTTCCCAGAAATTAAATATTGCACATTTCTTGTTCCAAAACCAATAATCGTGGATCTAGCACTTTTCCTTAGTGTTCCAAGCGTGTAAGAGATGGAATTCGTCACCGTGCAGACCCGCGATTGGATCGAAAAACTAAAATGTATCAACAGTGTATGGACCTTCCTAGTCTGGTGACAACTTCAGGCAACGACCTTTACTTCTTGTGGTGCCCCGTTTCGTGAACGCTCAGCAGCTTCTCCTTCAAGTTATCCACGTAATCTATGATCTCCTTTGGTTCTTCACTCGGAGAGCTGAACAAAATGTCACAAGGCAGATGAAGTTCTCTTCCGAAAACTCCGGTATCTGACTTAGTTGTCCATCAGCGTTGTTGTAACCGTCGTAACTTCTTGGTTCCGTATGGCATAAGCGTCGGATCATTTACTGAAGTAATCGCTGAGGACTATGTCCACCTGCAATTATTTCGAAAGGCGAACCGACGTTATATTGTTGCATCGGCCCTCTCGCTCTAGTCCTCGGTCCCTTGGCCGCCGCACAGGTTGTACATTTCTTGCACCAGTTCTCGACATCTTCTCGACAACGGACCCAGTAGAATCTCTCCCTAACCTTAGAAAGAGTCTTGTTCATTCCAAAATGAGCACCAGAACCGCCGTTGTGCATTTCCCGAAGTACTTCCTTGGTTCTAGTGGCCGGAACCATCAATTGCATGGTGGTATGTTTCCCATCCGAACTTTCCCAAGCTCGCTTAAGTAATGCGTTCTCGACACGCAGGGAGTTCCACTGAGCCCATAACGCTTTGAAGCTGGCCGTTCTACCCCATCTTCTTTCCATTTGAGCAACGGCCCGATATCTACGTCCTCCTCTTGGTCTTTTCTAAGTTGGGCTGTAGTCCATTCTTCCTCTTCTATGACTGCTGTCCTCCTACAGTTAAGCGGCGTTTCACGCTGGTCGATCTTGTCGCCCTGACAATGGTCAGTAACTCCTTCCTCGTAGCACAGTATTTCTTCTCGGGTTTCCAAAGTACGCTGCTGAAGTAGGTACTCGATGACTTTTTTTTCCTTGTCCTGCACCTGTCACAATACAGCACCTATTCCAATGTTGCTCGTATTCGTGTCCAAGATGAACATTCCCAATGATTGAGGAAAGGACAGAATAGGACTAGAGCATAGTGCGTTCTTCAATCTTTTAAAGGCTGCTACAGATTCAGCAGTCCAATTAAACTGAGACTTCAAATTCAGAGGGGCAGCAATATCAGCAAACCCGTGGACAAACCTTCTGTAGTACGTGCATAATCCCAAGAAACTCCGGACTTCGTGTTTATCTCTTGGTCTTGGCCAATCGTGAATCGCATTCATCTTTGTTCCCGTAGTCTTGATCCCGCTTGCCGAAACAGTATGCCCCAGAAATTCTACTTCTTTTTGGAAGAGGAGGCACTTTTTCGGAATCAACTTCAAATTTGCCTCCTTCATTCGGCTAAATACTTGTTCAAGGTTGGTCAGGTGCTCCTCAAATGTCTTTGCCATTACGATGATGTCGTCTAAATAAACCAAACATGTTTTCCATGTTAGCCCTCGCAATACCATCTCCATTAGTCTCTCAAAAGTAACCGGAGCATTACACAGTTCGAAAGCCATTACGGTAAATTGATACAAGCCCCTTCTGGCAGAAAGAGCGGTCTTTTCCTTATCTTATGGAATGTGGATGAATACCAACTTACCAATAGCCGCTTTTTAGGTCTAACGTGGAA